GCTGCAGGCAGTTGGCCCCACCCCCGCCACTACTTGCCATCTGTGCAACGCACTCTCGCGCCCCCCCACCCCCAACCACCACCGGTGGCTTCCCTCTGCAGGTGACAGGCTGGGATGCAATGGCTTGGCTGGCTTGGGCCTCCCTCTTTCTTTGCTTGGGGATGGAGCCAGCCCTGTGAGGGGCCGTCTGCCTACCTTATTGCCCCTAACCACTAGCCTACCTACCTGATCACCTCTAACCACTCTGCCTGCCTGCCTGATTGCCCCTGCTTGCTTGGGGGTGGGACAAGCCCTGCAAGAGGCCGTGTGCCTATCTGATCGCCCCTAACCACTCGCCTACCTGATCGCCCCTAACTACTCTGTCTTCCTGCCTGATTGCCCTGAATGCTTGCTTGGGGGCGGGGCTAGCACTGACTTCGGGTTGGTCAGCCTCTGGTTATTACAACCCAGGGTTTTTATATATTAGTATACTAGAGGCCCGGTGCATGAATTCGTGCATGGGTGGGGTCCAGCCTGCCAGCCCAGATCAGCCCCACCCCCTGGTCAAACTTTTGGTTGAACTCCTTGTCGAAAGAATTGAACTCCCGGTTGAGGGGACAGTTTGCATATTAGCCTTTTATAATATAGGATAATATAAATACTTTTTTAAAAAGCTTTTTATTATGAGCAATTTTAATCATATATAAAAATATGGAATAAATAATACCTATATACTCATGATCTATTGTTAACCAATATTAACATTTTGTTTTGCCATATTTGCTTAATGTATTTTCAAATAAATTGAAGATACCATGACATTTCACCCCTAATGTTTCAGTATGCATCTTTATTTATTTTTTTAAAATGTATTTTATTGATTTTTTACAGAGAGGAAGGGAGAGAGATAGAGAGCTAGAAACGTCGATGAGAGAGAAACATCGACCAGCTGGCTGCCTCTTGCACACCCCCTACCGGGGATGTGCCCACAACCAACGTACATGCCCTTGACCGGAATCGAACCTGGGACCTTTCAGTCCACAGACCGATGCTCTACCACTGAGCCAAACCGGTTTCGGCTCTTTTTTTTTTTTTTTTTTTTTTAAATATCACATTGCTAAAGGAGTTTTTCTTTTTCTTTTTTAAAAATATATTTTTCTTGATTTCAGAAAGGAAGGAAGAGGGAGAGAGAGAAACATCAATGATGAGAATCATTGATTGGCTGCCTCCTGCATGCCCCTCACTGGGGATTGAGCCCGCAACCCTGGCATGTGCCCTTAACCGGAATCGAACCTGGGACCCTTCAGTCCGCAGGCCGGTGCTCTATCTACCGAGCCAAACCAGCCAGGACTGAGTATGCATCACTTGAGAAATGATTAGAACATTGTCCTGTGTGACCACAACAACATTATTATCACACCTAACAAAATTAGTAATAATTTCCTAATTATTCTAAAAATGTGCTTTACATCTTTTTTTCAAACCAAGATTCAATAAAGGACCATATACTGCATTTGATCTTTAAGTCTTTTAAATCTCTTTTAATGTAGAATAGTTTTATCTAACTTTTACTAAGATGGCAAGCCAATTGTGTTAAGAAATCCTATATTCTAGATTTGTCTATTTTCTCGTGGTGGTAAATTGTTCTTTTGTCTCCTGTTAAAAAATTGCTAGGTTCAGTCAGCCTGCAGACTGAAGAGTCCCAGGTTTGATTCCAGTCAAGGGTACTTGCCTGGGCTTCGGGTTCAATCCTCAGTAGGGGGCGTGCAGGAGGCAGCCAATCAATAATCCTCTCTCATCATTGATGTTTCTATCTTTCTCTTTCCCTTCCTTTCTGGATTCAATAAAAATATTTTTTTTTTAAAAACTTGCTAGATTCACGTTAAACTTTTTTTTTAAAATATATTTTATTGATTTTTGTACAGAGAGGAAGAGAGAGAGATAGAGAGTTAGAAACATCGATGAGAGTCATCGATCAGCTGCCTCTTGCACACCCCCCACTGTGGATATGCCCGCAACCAAAGTACATGCCCTTGACCGGAATCGAACCCGGGACCTTTCAGTCCCCAAGCCGACGCTCTATCCATTGAGCCAAACCGGTTTCGGCTCAGGTTAAACTTTTTTTGGCAAGACTGTTTCATAGGTAATGCTGTGCATTTCATACTGTACATAATTTCTGATTATTTCTGTGCTAATGATGCTAAGGTTGAACATTGTGTTCAGGTGTTGTTCTTCCATTGTGAAGTTATTTTTCCCATTGACAAGACGAATCTGGGATGATACTTGGGACAGCATGTGCTATCCATTTGTGTGTCATAAAGTTTTATATTTATTAATGATTTTTACCTGAATTATTTTATTAGGGATTTCAAAATTATATTTTTTAAACAATATATTTCTTTTTACATTTAAGTTGTCATTCTTCTATAATAAAGAGCTTTCATTAACTGGAGCTATTTAGCTACCCTGAAATGATTTCATTTATAAATCTATTTTATTCTACCTTGGAAATGTAGAATAAATAATATGCTTACTTTTAAAATTTCTCCTAAATATCACATTTGTTTCTTAGATTCCTCATAAAATATCAAAAGAGCTCTAGTAAGAATTGTAATCTAGAAATTTAAAATGTAGGTGAGCAAGATAACTGGTGTTTAATCTTAGCAAACCCAGCGAAATAGTACATATTATTTTTTGATAGATAACCATAAGTGAACAAATGAGTCTCTTGAGATAGCTATAACCTGTTTTCTCTTTCTGCATTTCAAACTCAAAGATTAATCATTATTTTTATATGAATTCTTTATTAATAGATTTTAAGTAGAATCTTCTCAATGAAGTTATCTAAAAAGTTACTTTAAAAAGTTTTTCTGGAAGGAAGATCAACAATTTTTTTCATAGACTGTCTTTCAATTTTGTGTTTTTTTAAGCATTTGTGTAGTGTCCCATAAGTACTGTTAAACTGGTAATTCCTGAATTTAAATTAGCTGACTTGTGTGTCTGCCAATAGAGAGTTTTTCAAATCTTGATACATAGCCTTATACCATGACCAGTGTGACCTCTTTAGAAGACTCTCTTAAGTCCAGAATTTTTTGTTGGTTTCCTTCTTTCCAATTAAAGGTTCTTTTGGAAAATGTTTCTTAAATTTTAATTTCTCTTATTACAGTTGTTTCAACTTTGGAACAGCTGCTGGATAGCTACTGTTTTTCATGCAATTTAAGCAATCACTTTTCCTTGCTGAGCAGCAGCTTTTAAGCCCTAAAAATCTCTTTAAGCTTTGTTTATTTACCTTTAAAGTTCTTTAAACTCTGTAAAATGCAGATGGCAGTTGATTAAGGGCAGTGGTATTTCTAAAGGATTTTCTGAATGCTGGTGTTTCTTAACCACCCAGATCACACTGTTCCTTATTACAATACCAGACTATAAGGAGCTTTAATCAAATGTCAAAATTTCCCTCAATACTTATAATATGGAACTTCCCCTCCTCCCCCATAAGATTGCTTAGATTCATTTTTGAAAAGCATTTGCCCTTGGAGTTTATTGACTATTCCAAAAATAAAAATTAATACATTTTTCCATTTATTAAAATAATATAACTATATTACAGCATATTTAGCTGTAATATTTAGCCTAGCACAATTATTTTTTGCATTTTAAAAAAAAATATTTTATTGATATTTTATAGAGGAAGGGAGAAGGATGGAGAGTTAGAAACATCGATGAGAGAGAAACTTCGATCAGCTGCCTCTTACACACCCCCTACTGGGGATGTGCCCGCAACCAAGGTATATACCCTTGACCGGAATCGAACCTGGGACCTTTCAGTCCGCAGGCTGACGCTCTATCCACTGAGCCAAACCGGTTTCGGCCATATTGTTTGCATTTTAGTTTATTGATTTTTTAGTCCTTTTTTCTTATCTATCCTAAAAAAGAAGACATAGTTATAATTATATTTTTAGTTTACATAAGAATTCTTTTTTAATCCTTACCCAAGGATATTTTTTCTTGATTTTTAGAGAGAGGGAAAGACAGAGAGAAGTATTGATGTGAGAGGAACACATTGATTGGTTATTGGTTGCCTCCTGCATATGCCACGACTAGGGACTGGTCTGGGGAAAAGCCTGCAACCGAAGTATGTGCCCTTGATGGGAATCAAACCCAGGGCCCTTCATTCCGTAGGCCATACTCTATCCACTTAGCAAAAGAGGAGAGCTTTAGAAATCTTGGCTTCTCAGAAACTTTTATCAGGACAGGAGTAAGGCAAGTCTTGGGAAGCTTCTTGTGTTGTGGGGTCAACCAAAGGCTTATATAAATTCTCAAAAAGCACTTGTTTTATTTTCTTTTGATCTCTTATTCCCTCCTCCCCACACTCTAGACTTACAAAAAGGTAGCATCCTGTATAATAAAAGGGTAATATGCAAATTGACTCTAACGGCGAAACAATTGGGAACAACCGGTCGCTAAGACACTCACTGACCACCAGGGAACAGATACTCAATGCAGGAGCTGCCCCCTGGTGGTCAGAGTGCTCCAACAAGGGGAGTTCCTCTTGGCCACAGGACAGGTTGACAGCTGCGAGCACAGTGGCAGTGGTGGGAGCCTCTCCTGCCCCCTCGGCAGCATTAAGGAGTCCTACTGGCCTAAGTTGTCAGTCAGACATCCCCGAGGTCTCCCGGGCTGCCAGAGGGATGTCTGACTGCCAGCTTAGGCCCAATCCCCGGGGAGTGGGCCTAAGCTGGCAGGTGACATCCCCCAAGGGGTTCTGGATTGTGAGAAGGCACAGGCTGAGCTCAGGGACCCCTCTCCTCCAGTGCACAGGTTTTATGCACTGGGCCTCTAGTATAACACTATATATATATATATATATATATATATATATATATATATATATATATATATATTGAAATACGGAGTCTACATTATTGATTATATAATTATGCATTACCATGCTTTTTCTGTGTTCTCTTTTCAAAGGTTTTCTTATTGTCCACTTGGCACATGTTTCTGGAATAACATTCACCATGGTTTTGGATGACCTTCCAAACTTAGAAGACATCTATAATTCCTTGTGTTCATCAACAATGGAAGACTCAGAGATGGATTTTGACTCTGGACTAGAAGATGATGACACAAAAAGTGATAGTATTTTGGAGGATTCCACAATTTTTGTGGCCTTCAAAGGAAATATAGATGATAAAGACTTCAAATGGAAATTGGACACAATATTGGAGAATGTGCCCAATTTGTTAAACATGGGTAATTTGCTTTAATTACTTTTGCCTTCTAAGTATTTGCCCTTCTGTAACTATTTTGAGTTTTACAATGTAAAATTTTGCTGTACTGGTTTGAAAGACTCATTTTAATTGTAAAGTTAGAATTTTAGGACTTTTTACTTTTTATGAAATGCTGTGGTGTTTCTTTTAAGTTCATGGAGGAATTGAACTAAAATAGCATATGTAAATAACCTGCTTTAGTGGACAGGAGTAAGTCTCAAAACCCAAATATATTTATTGTTTCTAACACTCTGGTCTTATGTATAAAATGAAGAGTATAGACTGGATCTTTAAGTCTTTTACTCCATGGTTCTACTTAAAGTATGCTTGAAATTTGTTTTCTTAAACTGTAGATTTGAGGATCCTGAATCTAGCCATCAGCCGCATGTTATGGCCCACTTTCATTTTTTTGTTCTTCGTTTTTTAATTTTTTAATGTTTGAGTTTCATTGCCCATGCTTTAAAATTTTAAATATTTTACATAAAAATCCATATTTTGCATTTGTCTGTAAAAATAAAAAGATGTGATAGCTTTGAGTTCTCCCTCTGCCCCAGATGATGCTGAATAGCACCAAAGACAGCCCCTCATCTCATCACAACTTCCATCTGATCTCGTCACACATTTACATTACCTGTCTCGGTCTTGTGGCCATTTGTGTGTGTGTGGGTTTTTTGTTTTTGTGTGTGTGTGTTTTTGGTAATTTTGCACTTTATTTTTTATTTATTTGTTTGTTTGTTTAAAGTATTACATATGTCTCCTTTTTCCCCAGTTGACCCCCTCCCCCTCGTTTATGTTTTTGAATCTTAGTTCAGATGTTTCCCATCTTTCTTGGTAGGACAATTATCTAATCCCTTCAGACATAGTGCAAAGCCTAGGTTTTATCTTTCTATCACAAGTCTTGATTTAATCAAGTGCTCATTAGCTTTTTTTAGGCGTGCGTTATTTTTTTTCTTTTGAGATTTGATATCAGGAGGGAAGCTGCTGTAGTTTATTTTTCAAATTTTTTTTAGTGTGTTGTATAAGATTTCTTTGTAGTTAATGTATTATTTAGCATAGTATTAGAGAATTTTTTGTTAAAGTTACAGTTATTACTGTCATTGTCACCGTAATCACAGTCATAATATATCACTTTATGAGGGCCCAGCTGGGCCTGAACTTGCTTATTGCTCTTAATTACACATTTCCCCCCCTTGTTTTTAAATAGCTCAGTCAGTTTTTTCATGCCTTTTAAACAAATTACCAAACCCTGACCTATGCAGTTATTAGATTATATTCTTGGTGCAAAAATGTATTTTAAGTCATTTCTTCTCAAATATAATGGAACTTTTAAAAACTTTTGATAAAATGTAGTCTAGACCACACGCAGGATTCCAATACTCTTCAGATTAGGAAGCAGCCCTGTAGCATCTGTACTCTGAGCAAGACCATTTTTTTTTTTTTTTAAATATATTTTATTTGATTTTATACAGAGAGGAAGAGAGAGAGAGAGAGAGTTAGAAACATCGATGAGAGAGAGTCATCGACCAGCTGCCTCTTGCACACCCCCTACTGGGGATATGCCCGCAACCAAGGTACATGCCCTTGACCGGAATCGAACCCGGGCCCTCCAGTCCCCAAGCCGACGCTCTATCCATTGAGCCAAACCGGTCTCGGCAAGACCATTTTCTTAATATTGAAATGTAAAACTGAATAGAGAATACAAAAGATTTAACTTAGCTGAATTTTAACAAAAGAGAAAATTATTTTGTCTGGCATTGTTGGGGGGAAAAAAGTTTTTAGTCTGCTAACTGGTCCTGGGATTTGTTTTTCCGTCTGTAAAATATAATTACAAACAATATTACCTCCTCAATTAGCTAGTTTTTATATCTTCTTTTAAAAACATGCCCTGAAGTTTGCATTGATTTTTCAGACTTGCTAAAATGTAATGTTTTTATATCCTAACTGAAGCTTGGTTGTCAGATTTTGTTGTTTCCCCCTCAGTTTCATGTGCTTCAGTAGAAATTGTACTCTTATTTAAAGTAGGTAAAGATTTAAAAATCAAAGACATAAAGAATCAAGACTTAAGCCCTCCTTAAACTGAAACATTTATAGGACATTATAAGATATGTTTGCTCTCTGTCTCTATAAATATTTTCCACAGTGATGCTCAGTGAATATTTAAATATGAGTATTAAAATTTCAGATATTTTATTTGAAGAGGTAAAATTATTTAACCTTTTCTTATTTTTCCTTTTTCTGCGTAACCTTTTTATAAGTAAATTTACTAGTGACTTTTATAGTGCTGTTTCTTTAAATAAGCTGCAGATTCCTTCGTATGTATTCAACAGTTGGCATATCTGCCAATTGAATTTTTATAGAATCTCACTTGAAATTGGAGACTAAATGTTCTCAGTTTCTCAGTACACATACATTAATCTGAGTCCAAAATAGATATTATTCTATTAATTTAAACTTAACCTCTCTCTTCTCTCATATTCCCTACTCTGTTTTACTGCTTTCCATCTATTCAGTACCTATGGTGTATGTAGTAGGTCCTGTACTAGGTTTCTGGGACATATATCATTTAGCAATCACAACCTCTAAGTAGGTTTTTTCATGATTTTAAAGAAGAGAAAGGTAATTTTCAGAAAGATCAAATAACTTGTTCATGGGCACCCTGATGCTAACTGGCAAAGTTAGTATTAGATTTGAAGTCTGACACCAAAGCCTAAGCTTCTTAGCTACTCCAAGCTAGTGCTTTGCCTGTTCTTTTATCTTTTTGTTATTGTTTGTTTCATGTCTTTTAGTGGCTGAAAGATTACTAACATTATTCTCTTTCTTTCACAACCAAGAATCCAGCAAGCTAAAGGTACAGAAGGTGGAGCCCTGGAACAGTGTGCGTGTGACTTTCAACATCCCCCGGGAAGCAGCGGAGCGGCTGCGGATCCTGGCTCAGAGCAACAGCCAGCAGCTTCGGGACCTGGGGATCCTCTCCGTTCAGATCGAAGGTGCCCATCTAGACACAGATCGTGATAACAGCAGAACGGGGCATGATTTCCTGTGCTGCTTTCATCTTCAGTTTTAGAATGCCACGTAATTTATGTAATCTGTGCTTCACATTGTAGCACCTTAGGATAAAGAGGAATTGAATCTCTAGTTGGGTCCCGATGCTTTAGCATCTGTAGTCTCAGACTCCATTCCTGTGGCTGATTTGGTTGTTGGCCTGTCATACTTTGATTTTATTGGCATTCTGACCAGAAACTGATTTGTCTTTTGAAGAACATCTAATTTCAGTTGCTTCTTTCTACCAACTAAGCCTTAGTTTTTATATCTTTACTTACCTAACAGAGATTAGGAGACCCTAAACAATTCTTTTGTAGTAGTATTCATTTTTCAAATACTTTGCCAGAATGATCTTTTCAAAATGAAAATAAACTATATAAACACACACAGCTTAAATTTAAATCCCTGCTATGGCTTGCTATTGTTCAAAAGACCAGACTCTTTATTATGACCTCAGGCTTTGCATGGTCTGATCTCTACCTTTTTCATCCAGCCTTATCTTGTACAACTCTCTCTTTGCTGTGTTCCAGCCTTTCCAGCTTGCTTTTGGTTCCTTGAGTATGCATTTCTTCCTCCTGCCACAGGTCCTTGGCATTGATGGAATATTGTTCCCTATCATTTTCCCTTAAACACCTCTTCAGCTTCCAGTATCAGCTTATATCTTCTTGAGGATGTATTTTTTAAACTCCTTGACACAGTCATAGTTTTTTGTTATGTATACTCACCAAAGTCTGCATTTTCCCCCCTCAGGTCACACTTTTTTTAGAGCAGTTATTTGATGATTGTTTTGTTCCCCCAAAGACTGCAAGCTCAAGTAGGATAGAGATGTCTTGTTTGGCTTATTGTTGGATCGCTGCTTGACTGTACATATTTTAGGTTCTTTGGTAGATATATGTTGAATGAAACCAAGGGAAGCACGTATATAATGGCAACACTTTGTTTCAGTGCTCAGAATACAGTGCTAAATAAAATACAGTCCTTGTTTTTATGAAATCAAAAGGAGTTCATGACCTTGGTGAGGCAAACAAACCTGTGAAAGGTGTAAGTACCAAGTGTGGGGAAGCACAAAGGAGGCTCTATCTTTGGATGCCCAGTGAACCAAAACCATCTCCTTCCCTCTTACATTGATGCAGGCAGATGGCAACCAACATTTTCAGCCTTCCCTTCCACTGGTAGGCCAAGCCTTCCTGACGCTGTGCTTGCTTAGAACCTAAATGCTCCACAAAACCTCAGCAGCTGAGCTCAGCCATTGTTGCGCAGTGGTTGAGTGTCAGCCTATGAACCAGAAGATCACATTCGATTCCTGGTCAGGGCTTGTGCCTGGGTTGTAGGGGTATGCAGGAGGCAGCTGGTCAATTGTTTCTCTCTCACATTGATGTCTCTTTCCTCTCCCTTCCTCTCTCCAAACATCAAAAAAAAACATTTTAAAAGAAAGAAAGAAAAGTGGGGTTTAACACCACTTGATAAATGAAGGAATAGTGGCTTAAACAATAAATAGTTTATTTTGAAAAATTTGGGGTTGTCTAAAAGGATCCAGGAAAGTAAAATCAATTCATAGCAATCTACAGAATATAGTGAATTTTTAGGAAGAGTGGAAATAAAACAAGTATTGGTTATAACACTATATTGACTTTTTTATAAGCACATAAGCACATGTACTCTTTATAAGAAACACATAAGTGAAAACCCCAAATGTTTGTGGTCTCTGTTACCTATTTACCTGACTTCAAAGGGCTTTTTTGGAAGTGTTTTCCAGTGGAGAAAGAAAACACCAGTTTCTTTTAATCAGACCTACTTACTACAAGTTCTTAAAAGGGTAAGATGCTGGCTCCCCTTTATTGTTATAGCCATATATTCAAACATAAGTACCAGCAAAGAGACAAAATAGATAACATTTCTAGATATTATTAAATTCACATATTACAGAAAGAAAGGCTTTAACTTTTTGGTAATGTGTATCCCTAGGGATCTCCTTTCTCTCTCCACATTCTCTGAGAACTCAGGAAGGAGGGAAGTGATGGCAGCAGCTGTTGCTTTTGTGAAACTGGTAGTAAGTTGATGCCTTTGTAAATTGTAAGGGGAGGTGTAGCCACTGTCGTAGTGTCTGCTGCAAGGGTGGAAGGACAGGTTGTTCCCCGAACAGTCTGTTCTCCAGTGAAGAACACTCCTTGTACCTTCCTTTTTTTGAGTTTTGGCCAGGGAATTGGGGAGACAATTTTTTTGAGGGCATTTTGTGACCCTTCTGTAAATTCATGGTGATTTGAAGCAGAAGTCTGCAACCATTTTTTTGTAAAGGGCCAGAGAATAAATTTCTTTGACTTTGTCATAACAACTCAACTGTTGTAGCACGAAAACAGCCATAGGCAATGTGTAAATGAGTAAGTGAGGCTGTGTTCCAATAACACTTTATTTAAGTAAACAGGCAACAGGCTAGATTTGGCCCATAAGGATAGTTGATACTTAACAGGCAAGTTTGGGAGCCAATAGTGTTCTTTACATGTTGGGTTTTTTGTTGTTGTTGTTTTTTTTTTTTGTGTGTGTGTGTGTGTGTGTGTGTGTGTGTGTGTGTGTTTTGAGATGTGCCTTTATTGATTTCAGAGGGAAAGAGAGAGAGAAACATCAATGATGAGAATCATTGATTGGCTGCTTCCTGCACATCCCCTACTGGAGATCAAGCTCACAACCTAGGTAGAATCAAACCCAGGACCCTTCAGTTCACAGGTTGACGCTCTATCCACTGAGCCAAACCAGCTTGGGTTCCACTTGTTTTTTGTTGTTTGTTTTTATTTTTTAATTATTTTTATTTTATTTTATTTTTTTAATCTTTATTGTTCAGATTATTACATTTGTTCCTCTTTTATGCTCCCATAGCCCCCCTCCACCCAGTTTCCACACACCCCTCTCTCCCGCCCTTATCCCCCCCCCCCCACTGTTCTGGTCCATAGGTGTACGATTTTTGTACAGTTTCTTCCTGCACCCCCCACAGCCCCTTCCCCACGAGAATTGTCAGTCCACACTCTATGCCCCTGATTCTGTTATATTTACCAGTTTATTCTGTTCATCAGATTTTTTATCCACTTGATTTTTAGATTCACTTGTTGACAGATAATGTATTTGTTGTAACTTCGTTGTTCATAATTTTTATCTTTACCTTTTCTTCTTCCTCTTCTTAAAGAATACCCTTCAGCATTTCTTATAATACTGGTTTGGCGGTGATGAACTCCTTTAGCTTTTTCTTATCTGTGAAGCTCTTTATCTGACCTTCAATTCTGAATGATAGCTTTGCTGGGTAGAGTAATCTTGGTTATAGGTTCTTGCTATTCATCACTTTGAATATTTCTTGCCATTCCCTTCTGACCAGCTGATAAATCAGCTGACAGTCGTATGGGTACTCCCTTGTAGGTAAATAACTGTTTTCTCTTGCTGCTTTTAGGATTTTCTTTTTGTCTTTTGCCCTTGGCATTTTAATTATGATGTGTCTTGGTGTGGTCCTCTTTGGATTCCTTTTGTTTGGAGTTCTCTGTGCTTCTTGGACTTGTAAGTCTATTTCTTTTACCTGGTAGGGGAAGTTTTTTGTTACTATTTCTTCAAATAGGTTTTCAATATTTTTCTCTCTCTCTTCTTTATGGCACCCCCATAATTTGGATGTTGGTACACTTGAAGTTGTCCCATAGGCTCCTTATACTATCTTCATATTTTTCAGTTCTTTTTTCTTTTCTGATTGGGTGTTTTTTGCTTCTTCGTATTTCAAATCTTTTATTTGATTCTTAGGATCCTCTAGTCTACTGTTGGATCTCTGTATTTTATTCTTTATTTCAGTCAGTGTATGCTTAATTTCTAATTGGTCCTTTTTCATATCCTTGAGGGTCTCACTATATTTCTTGGAGGTTTCTAGAAGATACTTGAGTAACTTTATAACCGTGATTTTTTTAAGTCTATATCCAGTAGTTTCCTTTCTCCATTTCTTTCATTTGTGGCCTGTTTCTTTGTCTTTGCATTTTGGCTGCTTTCCTGAGTTGATAGAGTGGCTTTGTGTACTAGGTGTCCTATAGGGCCTAGTGGCTCAGCCTCCCCAGTTACTTGAAGTGGACACTCTTGGTGCACCCCTTTGTGGGCTGTGTGCACAGTCTTGTAGTTAAGCCTTGATTGCTTTTGGTATTACTAGGAAGTATTGACCTCCAGGCCAACTGGCTGTGAGGACCAGTTTTATCTACATTGGGAGAACTTCTGTGCTGGAGACACCCTTATGTGGCAGGACTTGCTTCAGTATAGGGCTTTGGTGCTTACTGATTCTTCCCCCTAAGTGTGTCTCTTATCTATAGATGTGAAGAGTTGTAATTTGGATGGTCTTACTCTGACCACTGGGTACCCTTGCCTCTTGGATCTCCCAGGAGGTGCAAAGTCAGCCACTGCTTGAGGCCACCCAGCAGGAGCTGCAGAGAGATCTGCAGATTCCTCCTCTTCGTTTGGGGTTGGAGGTGCTCAGATGAGCTAGCTGTGAAGCAGTGCAAGCTGCTGTGGAGCCTTAGGTCTTCTTTTGGAAGCTCTGGGGCTCTCTGACCAGCAGCAATTTGTTGGATTGCAAAAGGCCAGGCCATTTATAATGCAAAAGCTTCTGCACATAGCTTGGGTAGGGTTGTAAATTGGATGGAGCAGGGTCTCAGAGAATCACCAGGGCAGAGCAAACAGCAATGGCTGCCATTAGCCCTGCCCCTAAAAGGCCCCTTAGTCTCTGTGTCCTGTGCATCATGCAGAAACAATGATTGCTGCAAACACCTCTGAGAGAAAGCTGCCCTCGCGTTCCGGCCTGATGCCAGACAGACCAGTTTGAGGTATGAGTCTGGGTCCCCAGAGTCTCGCCCAGAACTGGAGTTCAGAGCAGTTGGGAACTTGTTGAAAAAGACAGCAGTGTACCCATTGCCAGCCCCTTTCACGCGCCTCTGTACTTCCACACTCCCACACATCCGCACCTGCTACCGGACTCAATGCTCTTTTCTCTTTCTTTTTTAGTTGTAGAATTTCCATTCAGCCAGCCTTCCCGTGGTTCTGGATGATATTAGTTTTGTCTTTTAGTTGTAGTTTTGATGTGATTGTGCACGGCAGCAAGTTCAGGTGTTTATGCCGCCAACTTGGTTGTCCTTGTTGTTTGTTTTTAATAAAACTTAGCAGTAGTTACATGTAGTTGGCAGTAAGGGGAATAATAGCAGTATAATGTGAAAACTGTGTTTATTCATATGTGATTGTTCCTGTGCAGGTGAACTAGAATAGTGGGACTAGGAGGATAAATATTCATAAGAGGGATAGGGGGAGCCTTTAGTTCAGCTGCTGCATAGGTGGAAGTCCTTTCAGCTTTATTTTAAGAAAATTTGCCGAAACCCATTTGGCTCAGTGGATAGAGCGTTGGCCTGCGGACTGAAAGGTCCCGGGTTCGATTCCGGTCAAGGGCATGCACCTTGGTTGCGGGCACATCCCCAGTAGGGGGTGTGCAAGAGGCAGCTGATTGATGATTCTCTCTCATTGATGCTTCTAACTCTCTATCCCTTACTCTTCTTCTTTGTAAAAAATCAATAAAAAATATATTTTTTTAAAAGAAAATTAAAAATGAGATCTTACACTCAAGTATGTTCCCCAGAAGTGCACCCCCCAGCATTTCATGGCTCTCGGCTTATGACAAGTTTCATTTCCTCCTGTGCCTGCCTTAATGGTGGTCCCACTGGCTCAGAGCACCACTGCATCTGCATTATCTTAGCACCTTTCACCAGGCATTTCCACTCTAGCATTTTGGGACATGTTGTCTCTACCAATTTTTGTTTTTATTAGAGCTCTGGTTACAGAGCTGCATGAATTTTGAGTTTTCCCCAACAATATTTTTCTACTAAAACCTGTTATTTTCAGTGTGAGATTTTATAGAATGGGAGGTTTTTCAGGAATGCATTTATCATATAGAAAAATGCCTATAATTCTTTGTAAGGTTATAAGATGACTCTTCATCATATAGTTAGTAAATAGATAATGAGTATCTACCATGTGCCAGGCACTGTTCTGTGTATATAAAGCGCATAACTAGGGTAGACTTATAAGTTATCACCTTTGAGAGTAAAATAACCTTCCTGAGACAACAGATATGAAGGAACTAGGACAGACTTATGGTTACCTTTGTATATGATGGGGATGCAGACAAGAAAGTAGTAAATAAGTATTCACATGGGATGTCCTCTGAAGAAATAGCAGGCTGTTCTGATAGGGTGACATAACATTGGATAAGGTGGTTAGAGAAGGCCTTTCTGAGCCTGTGACACTTAAGGTGACGTGAAAATTGAGGCGTTGACTTAATGTGAGAATAGTGCAGAAGTCCTAGGTAAAGGGAGCAGCATTCTTGAAGATCTTAAGGTGAGAAGCAGGTTTGTGTACCCAGGAAACTAAAAAAAAATGCCACAAAGGCTGAACCCTCTTATATATATATATATATATAAAAGAGGGTTCTTTTATTTATATATATATAAAATTGATTTTTTTTTTTTTTTTACAGAGAGGAAGAGAAAGGGATAGATAGTTAGAAACATCGTTGAGAGAGAATCATCCACCAGCAGCCTCTTGGACATTCCCTACTGGGGATGTGCCCACAACCAAGGTACATGCCCTTGACCGGAATCGAACCCGGGACCTTTCAGTCCACAGGCCGACGCTCTATCCACTGAGCCAAACCAGTTTCAGCTGAATCCTTTTTATTGAAGGAGAAAATAGTGTAAGTTTTTGAGGTTAGAGACATAGGCAAGGGCCACATCTGGGCTGTCCAGTATAATAGCCACAAGCCATATATGGATATTAGCACTGGAAATATGCTTTAAGTGCAAAATACATTCTAGATTTTGAAGACTTAGCTTTCTCCCAAAAGAATGTAAAGTATCTCATTAATAATTTTTATATTAATTGTATGTTGAAATAATATGTTACATGTATTGGGTTAATAAAAAAAAGTATATTGCCGTTAACTTCAGCTTATTTTTACTCAGCTTCTAGAAATTTTTAAATTGCATGTGTTGCTTATATTATATTTCTGTTGAGCAGCATTGGGCTAGATAGATCATTAGAGGCATTGTAGACCCTATTAAGAAGTTTCACTTGCATTTCTAAAGCAGTGAGAAGAAATGGAGTAGTTTTAAGTAGAGAAATGGCATGATCTGATGTCCATTTTAAGAACAGTACTCTTTCTTCTTAAGATGTCCTAGCAGGATTGGTATATTAATAGTCCTTTCCTTTCATTGGAAACCCTCAAGATCCATATTTTTCTCTTTTATTCCTAATTCCCATAGGCAACTTAGAGCATCTTTGTAGCCTCTGGTGATTGGTCTCTCTCTCTTTCTCTTTTTTTTTAAATTATATTTTTATTGATTTCAGCGGGAGGAAGAGAGTCGGAGAGAGAAACATCCATGATGAGAATCATGGATTGCTGCCTCCTGCACTCCCCCTCCTGGGGATTGAGCTCACAACCTGGGCATGTGCCCTGACCAGGAATCAAACCGTGACCTCCTGGTTCATAGGTCGACACTCAACCCCTGAGCCACACCGGCTGGGCTGGTGATTGGTCACAGGATGTTTGTTTCTATGACTAACCAACCTGCCTGGTTAAAACAGAAAACTAACGTACATCACTGACAAGACAGACGAAACTGTTGTGCTCTCATTAAGTACCTTTTCTTTTTCTTCTTCTTTTTTTCATTAGTTTTCTTTTTAAAAAAAATATATTTCATTGATTATTTTACAGAGAGGAAGGGAAAGAGAGAGTTAGAAACATCCATGAGAGAGAAACATCAATCAGCTGCCTCCTGCACACCCGCTACTGGGCATGTGCTCACAATCAAGGTACATGCCCTTGACTAGAGTCGAACCTGAGAACCTTCAGTCCACAGGCCTACGCTCTATCCACTGAACGAAACCAGCGAGGGTTAGCTTCCTTCTTTATTATCTGATTATGTAAAGACAGACAAGTGAATGAAAACTTTCATCTTCTCAGCCACAGGCCAGCTATACTTTTATTTGTCCACAGGTGGTGCTGTTCTCCAGAGTAACAGCAGTCAAAATTTTAGAGGCGTGAAGCACCCCAAAACTTACTTCAAATATTTATTGATTGGTTGATTGATTGATTTTAGAGTGGAAGAGAAAGGAAGAGAAACATCCATCTGCTGCCTCCTGCATAGCCCCTCCTGGAGATTGAGCCTTCAACATGGGCATGTGCCCTAACTGAGAATCGAACCAGCAATCTTTTGGTGCATGGGACAGCACTCATCCAACTGAGCCACACCAGCCAGGGCTCAAAGACCTTTTTATCATTAAACCAAGTAATATTTAAGTTGCCTCTAACTTTAGGGTACACTCAATTGGAACACTTCTAGTGACATACCAGGTTATTAGGTTCAAATTAGATAACATTTTGTAGGCATTAACAATCCTATACAAATGTTCTAATCATCAGATATTTGTCTCAGAGATAGATTAGTAGAAACCTGTCTACTCCATGTTTTTTCAATTAAAGTTGACATACAATGTTATATCAGTTTCTTGTATGCAACATAGTGATTAAACATTTATGTAACTTACAAAGTGTTAACCCCAATAAGTCTAAAACCCATCTGATACCATATATAGTTATTACAATACTAGAGGCCCAGTGCATGAAATTTATGCACTGGAGGAGGCCCCTCAGCCTAGCCTGCCCCCCTCACAGTCTGGGAGCCCTCGAGGGCAGGAGGCGACCTGGCGATCAGGGGAAGGCAATGTTCCCATCACACCTCTGCTGCTGCCACTGTTGGCAGCGCAAGCCTTGCTGGCCCTGGTTGCCTGTGTTTCAAGCTCTCCCTGAGAGGCTGAGGGGTTGAGGGCGGGTCCAGCTGTACCCCACACAGCTCCAGTTGTACCGTGGGGCTGACAGGACTGAGGGACTCTAGTGGGGGTGAGGAGACTAGGCACTGCTATCTTGTGATAGTGTGATGGTCAATTTGCATATTCTCTCTTTATTAGATAGGCTTATTGACTATGTTTCTATGCTCTATTTTACATCCCCATGACTATTTTTATAACTGGAAATTTGTGCTTCTCAATCTTAGCTTTCACAAACTTTTTCACCCATCCCCACCCCCCATCTCCCTCCATCTGGTAATCATCTATTCTCTGTATTGATGAGTTTGTCCCTGGTTTTTTTTTTTTTTGTTCTTTTATTTTGTTTTTTAGATTCCACATATAAGTAAAATCATTCACTTAACTAATACCCTCTAGGTCCATCCATGTTGTTGCATATGGCACAATTTCATTCATTTTTATGGCTAAGTTACATATGCCATTGTATATGTGTACCACATCTTTATCCATGCTATGAGCATTTAACGGCCTATTTACTTTTCATTGCATCAATTTTTCTGCTGTATATCTGTTTATATTGCAGTTATTGAAAGGGAAATGGCATTTTGCCCACAAATATTACAGTGCCCCCATTCTGTTTTTTTCCTATACACACACATACATTCCCTCCCTCCCCCTATGAGCTGATTGAAAATAAATATTTAGAGTTCCTTGATCTTTGCTGATGCTATGTATCGTTAATCATTGCCCATCTCTATATTGTGAGAATTGGTTATGTTCTTGTGCTTCATGTAAGTAAACCTTAGAGAAAACTACAACTCTTGTATACCTTTTAAAAAAAATGAAATTTGCATTTATTCTGATGATTTCCTTTTTATATCCTGACTGTCATTTTCAGGGGAAGGTGCTATCAACCTTGCTTTGGCTCAGAACCGTAGCCAAGATGTGAGAATGAATGGACCCATGGGAGGTGGAAATTCATTAAGAATGGAGCCAGGATTTCCTATGGCAGCTGGTCCAGGTGAGATCTCTCACTCAATTGTATGACATTTTACTAGTTGCCTCTTTTTTGCTTTCTTTGCTAATGTATGTTCATTTGGGTCCTACAAGATAGGCAGGGTTTCCTGACACATCTCTGTTTATTAGCTCAGGAAATAAAGACATGAAATCACTCTTGGGAGGCCAGCTAGTATTTACAATCTTTGGGGCTCAAGCTTAAATGTAGATGAGCACTGAGCAATACAGCAAACACTGATTATGTTCTTGAATGATAGCACCTATGCTAACTGTTGAAAATAGAAATGAATAAAAAACAAATAAAGTATACCCTACTTTCAGAATGTTTATAGCATAATATAGAATGTAGGCTGAGAATCTGTGAGCTAAGAGTTCTTGCATGCTTATTTGGAATCTGTAGAAGTATGTAGGAGAATATGTGTTTTTTATATTTAGAGCTTGAGAGAGTTATAAATTATTTGCTACTTTTTCAAGTAAACCTGAAATTTCTTCTTTGGAGATTGAATTCAACACACTGTGAATCACAGAATATTACAATTGAGTGGGCTCTCACATATAAGCTGAGGAAGCTGTGGAGCTCATGTAAGGAAGCAATTTGCCCAGGTCAAATAGCAGTAGGCTTAATATCTCAGATCTAACTCCCAGTTTAATGTTCTTTTCACTACACTCATGGCTTCCATACTTTTCTGCTGCAGGACCCTTTATCCAAATAAACCAGAAAGGCACAGCTTCTGTGGTTAAAGCAGAGGAAGCACCTGAATCTATACCAAATCATTCACCTCCCCACCTAGTATAGCAGCTTTTGAAGAAATGCAGGAGAATGGAGAAGCTCAATTTATAAAGCCATTGTTTGAACAATAGCTAAAAACTTGGCTTTATAGAATAGGAAGTAGGTTTTTATCCTGACATTGCCATTTAGAGGGTACCTTAAACTAGTTATTGCATCTCTCCAAGCAACAGTTTCTTCACCTATAAAATGAGATAATACTGCCTGTAATCTATTGAACTCATTCTTAAAGAAGATGAGCCATTTAGCAAACATTTCCGAGTTCCTATTATATGTCAGGATCTGTACTATTGGACTATTGTGGGGTACCATATAGTAGATGGAAAATACCCAGCCTGGTACCTATAGTTGGAAGTCAGTAGATGTAATTCTCCACAGAAATCTGAGCATTTGGTTTTAAGGCAGCATAATGAGAGTTATAGGTGGCACTGTTGCCACTAGTGAAGAAATGGGGTCAGAAGAAGAGAGGGAAGAACCTAACCAAGTTGTATATAGTTAGTAAAAGAATGAATAGAAATAAAATGAGATTTAACCTGAGTTCTAGTCTCGATTCCTGGCCAAATGACAATATTTACTGGCTGTAGTTTCCTGTAAACATATTTAATTACTAGAGCCTGGTGCACGAAATTCATTCACTGTGTGTGTGTCCGTGTCCCTCAGCCCAGCGTGCACCCTCTACAATCTTGGACTCCTTGAGGAATGTCCGACTGCCCGTTTAGGCATGATCCCCAGTGGGATTGGGCCTAAACGGGCAGTTGGACATCCCTCTCACAACCCAGGACTGCTGGCTCCCAACCACTTGCCTGCCTGCCTGCCTGCCAGCCTGATCACCCCCTATCCACTCCCCTTGCCAGCCTGATTGAAACCTTACTGCTCCCCTGCCAGCCTGGTCACCCCTAACTGCCCTCCTCTGCTGGCCTGGTTGCCCCCAACTGCCCTCCCCTGCAGACCTAGTGCCCCCCCCCAACTGTCCTCCCCTACTGGCCTAGTCCCTCCCAACTGCCCTTCCTTGCTGGCCTGGTCTCCCCCAACTTCCCTCCTCTGCCAGCCCAGTCACCTCTAACTGTCCTCCCTAACTGTCCTCCCCTGCTGGCCTGATTACCCACAACTGCCTTCCCCTGCAGGCTATCTTGTGGCAGCCATCTTGTGTCCACATGGGGGCAGTCATCTTGTGTGTTGGAATGACCATCAATTTGCATATTACTCTTTATTAGATAGGATGTCCTAGAAGCAATGCTATATAGACTGCTTCCAGCCTTAAAATGTTAGAACCCTGTTAAACCAATGTCAGCACACAAATTGCAAGCTCTCCTAGTGTCTAGCAAGTAGCTCTCTTAACATCTGGCCAGTATCTGGAAAATAGCAGGCATATTTATTATGCATCTCTGAGAAATGAGTCTAAATTATAGCAATATGAGTAGTTTATTGTCAACATAAGAAACTTTAGAAGCTTTAGGTTGAAATTAAGTTAAATTTAGTGAAGACCACTGATTGTGATCTAATATGAAGTTTCAGGAATAATGAATTGGTAATGATCTGTAGTCACAGTAACATTTTAATCCCTAATCTTTCTTTACTGCCAAGCATATTTCAGGCCTGTTTTTCTCTATTGTCCATGGGGACAATGGATGCAAACAATTTTGATACTAGTTTAAACTAAGCAGACAAATTTTTCTAGGGAAAGCGACCTCAGTACCCTAAAACATAGTAAAAATACTTCAGAATTGTGTATCTACAATGTATTAGATTGTAAATTTTTCTTAGCACTACCTTCTCTATTGGCAACAGTAAGTTAACTAACTGATAAGCAAAATACTTTTATAATTAAATCATATCCATAACCTGATTGTTTTTTTCCCCCATACCTTTAGAGAAGCTCAAGATTAGTGAGGATTCCATAGTAGTCATTTCATCATGATTTCTCGACTTTGTCACTATTAATGCTTTAGGCTAATTCTTTCCTGTGGGGAGCTGTCGTGTGCATTGTGCGATGTTTAGCAGCATCCCTGGATTCAACCACCAGATGCTAGTACAGCATGGCACTTTTCCAGTAGTGCCAATGAAAACTGTCTCTAGACATTGCTAAATGTTTTCTGGGGTACAAAATGTCCCCTCCCCCCAAAAATGGTGAACCATGGATTTAGTCCAAATTCCTTCTAATATTGATAGTATCTCTACTGAGCATGTAGTCAGCATGTGCTTAAACATTTCTGAGTGAAGGAGACTGATTATAGACTGAGAAAACCTGCTTGTTATCTCCTCACAACATTTTACTATCTAGTTGCCATCTTTGAAAAATGGGATGGGGCTCCTAAGAAACAAATCCAGTTTCAACATTTACCTAACTGCCCTCCTCAACTAAACATCTAAAAGTGCTCAATAAAAAGAGCAAATAAATAAATAAATAAATAAATAAATAAATAAATAAATAAAAAAGTGCTCCATAAACATATAACATTTAATGCAGAATTGAGCTTATAAGAAAGTAAGGAAAATCCCCAGGGCAAAAAAGAGGTCAAAGAAGGAAATTTAAGTAGCAATAAAGAAATAAGACTTTGCAAGGGCTAAGGGATAAAACATGAAGCCTTACTTGGGTCTACATAAAGAAGTTAGAATTCAGAATCCCTCATGAAGTGAGAATTTTCAGTGAAATAATGATTCAAAACTTTTTACTCTCTGGTACAGGAAGACAAATGCAAAACTTATCTCTCTTGGCCTGGGCTCTAGTTGGGGACTGGGGAAATGGTGGTTGTGGAATTTTCTCTACCCTCATGCAGTTGGAAATTTAATATACAAGGTAGTGCAAAAACTAAGTTTACAGTTGTACTTGAAACACAAGTTTATTCTTGTATTATTATTTATTGTATTTTCCTTATAAACAACTATAAGTCTACTTTTGTCCCACCTCATATTGAAATGACTCAGGAACAGCCAAGCTAAGTCAGTAAGTAGTTTTAAACTGGTCTCAACTCAGTAATGATTGTTGAAGCTCTGGAGAAGCTTATTCTCAACCCAAGCCATTGCAGATTCTCATAGTTAAAGCTTATGATAAATGAGACTTGAGGCTTGGTGCACGAAGTTTGTGCATGGTAGGGTCCCTAGGCCTGTCCAGCAATCAGGGCTGATCAGGGTTTTCCGGCTGCCAGCTGGGGCCTTCCTTTGTTCTACACTGACCCCTGCATTCCATGCCGTCCCCGGGTGGTCAGCACTCATTATAGGGAGCGGTTAAACTCGTGGTTGGTAGAACTCCTGAGGGGACAATTTGCATAATGGCCTTTTATTATATAGGATTATACTCCAGACTTACAACATTTAGCTCTTCTCCCTCCCTGGATAATGGGAATATTAGGGTGTTTAAATTTATAAAAATCCTAAGAAGAGGACAAGACACTATCAAAACATAAAGAGAATTGGGGGCAGAGAGGGGCGAACCAAACTTATAGAAATTTTTAAATTGAAATAAATAACTTATTAGACACAGCTGAATTGGAAGATAAACTTGAATAAATTACCCAGAATGCAGCACAGAAAAAAAATAAAAGAGATGGATGTGAAGGATAAAATTAGAAGGTTTAACATAAGTCTGAAAATAATTCCAGAAGAAGACAAAGAAATTGAGGTGGAATAATAATCAAATAGAGAATGGCTGAATTTTTCCCAGAATTGGTGAAAGAATGAGTCCTCAGATTCAGAAGCCCAGTAATCCTTAGCACTATAAATAAAAATGAATCCACACCAACACACAAAATTGTAAAGCTACAGAACATGAAAAGCAAAGAGGATGTTAAAAGAGACTCAAAATAAAAGACCAATTATTATTTTATTTAATCCTCACCCAAAGATATTTTTCCATTGATTTTTAGAGAGTAGAAGAGAGAGGGAAAGACAGAGAGAAACATCAATGTGAGAGAAACACATTGATTTGTTGCCTCCTGCATGCACCACAGGGAGGAGCCTGCAACTGAGGTATGTGCCTTTGATTGGAATCAAATCTGGGACTTTTCAGTCCACAGGCCAACAACTCTTATCTACTGAGCCAAACCAGCTAGGGCAAAGACTGTGAAGGAAAGACTATGAGACCCACAACTAATTTTTTAAAAATATGTTTTTATTGATTTCAGAGAAAGGAAGGGAGAAAGAGAGAGAACATCAATGATGAGAGAGAATCATCGATTGGCTCACCCTGATACCCCCTACCAGGGATTGAGCCCGAAACCCCTGGCATATGCCCCAACCGGAAATCAAAACTGTGACCTCCTGGTTCATAGGTCGATGTTCAGCCACTGAGCGACACTGGCTGGGCCTGCAACTAATTTCTTAACAGAAACATTGGAAGCCAGAAAACTTTGGAATAATATTTCAAAGTGATGAGAAAATTATTGACAGCCTCGAATTTTAAACCTAGCTACACTATCAACAGTAGTGTGAAATAAAGGCCTTTTCCAAGAGACTAAGAGAATTTACCATTAACAGACCCTTGCTAATTGAACTGCTCAAGATGTACTTCAGGAAGAAGAAAATTGAACCTAAGATGGAAGAAATAAGAGCTAAGAAGGAATGGTGAGCTAAATAATTGGTAACCTGGGGTAAATATTCTAAATAAATATTGACTTATTTAGTATAAAGATAACTACTATATATTGTCTTTAGACTTAAGTCAAATATGTCTGTTGGCATTTTAAACAATCATTAAAATAATAGAAATAGATTATATAACTTCATAGGAAGAAAGGCATGATGAAAACAAAATTCAGGAAAAATAGGAGAACAGCAAAGAAAAAGAAGTGTAAAAAGCAGTGGTATCACAAAATGATAAACCAAATTATACCAGTAATTAATAGTAAAAGCAAATGGATTCTGAACTTTGATTAAAATAAATCAGATATAGCCAGGACCGGTTTGGCTCAGTGGATAGAGCGTCGGCCTGCGGACTGAAAGGTCCCGGGTTTGATTCCGGTCAAGGGCATGTACCTTGGTTGCAGGCACATCCCCGGTGGGGGGTGTGCAAGAGGCGGCTGGTCAATGTTTCTCTCTCATCGACGTTTCTAACTCTCTGTCCCTCTCAATTCCTCTCTGTGTAAAATCAATAAAATATATTTAAAAAAAATAAATCAGATATAAATTATAATTATAAATAAAAAAGATAAAAATTCATAGCTAAAATGATAGATAAAAAGATAATCCAAATGAATATTAACTAAGAAAAGTTAGAACTGTTTTTACCAGATAAAACAGACTTTAAGATAAAAAGCTTTATGGAGGATAAATAGGGCCACTGTATGATGTAAAAGGAAAAGTTCAGCCCTGACCAGTTGCTCAGTGGTTAGAGCATCTGCACATGGACTGAAGGATCATGGGTTCGATTCCCAATAAAAGGCATGTACCTCCACTGCAAGTTCAGTCCCCAGCCCTGGTCAAGGTGTATGATAGGAGACAATCAATTGATGTCCCTCTCTCACATCAATGTTTCTCTCCCTCCTCCTACTTCCCTTCCACTCTCTCTAAAAATCAGTGGGGGGAAATTATCCTCCCTCCTTGGCTGAGGATTTTTTTTTTTTTTAAAGGAGCCCTAGCAGATTTGGCTCAGTGGATAGAGTGTTCCTCTTCAGACTGAAGGGCCTCAGGTTCATTTCCTGTCAAAGGCACATACCTTGTTTGCAAGCTGGATCCCGGATATATGCAGGAGACAACCAATCAATGTCTCTCTCACATCGATGTTTCTCTCTCTGTCTCTTCCCTCCCTTCCACTCTTGCTAAAAATCAATGGGAAAATATTCTCAGGTGAGTATTAACAAAAAAAAAAAAAAATTTTTTTTAAATAAAAATAAAGGAAAAGGAAAGTTTACTAAAAAGATAATTAAACTATTATTATCTTATAGCCTATCCTTAAAATATGTGAGGCAAAAATGGACAGAATTACATGGAGATAGTAAATCTTAGGAGAAATCTTAACAAACTATTAGTAATTGATGTGTTGAGCTTATAAAAAACTAGTAAGGATAAAGTTTGAATAACATAATTAAAATAATTTGATATAATGGGTATACAATTGGCCTTGAACAACGTGGGATTAGGGACATCAACCACCCCTGCAAAAATCTGCGTATGACTTTTGGCTCTCCAAAAACTTACATTGTCTGGAAGCCTTACTGATAACATAATAGTCAATTAACACACATTTTGTATTTATATGTATTATGTGCTGTATTCTTAAGTAAGCTATAGAAAAGAATCTGTTATTGAGAAACTACATTTGCAGTACTTACACATTTATGGAAAAAATCCACATGTAAGTGTATCTGCACAGTTCAAAACCGTGTTCAAGGATCAACTGTAAATAGAAATCAAGGATTCTTAATCTTGTCAGGCATAAATGGAACATTTGTATAAATTGGTCATGTATTATTCCAAAAGCAAGTTTTAGTAAATGCCAAAATTTGTTCTCTAACCTGTAGTGCAATTAGTCAAGTCAGTGGTAAAAAAACAAACAAACAAACAAAAAAAAAAACCTAACTAAAATATCCCATATTTTTAGAAATTAAAAAATACATTCTAAATACACAATAATTTTTTAAAAATCACGATGGACATTAGAACATATTTGGAATAATGGGAAGCACATATTAGAATTTGTAAGGTATAACCAATATAGAACTGGGAAGAAAATTAAGCCATCAGATACTTATATTAGAGCAGAACATCAACTGAAAAGTAACAACCTAACTGTATGGCTTAAGAAAATGAACAGCAGAGTAATAATTTAGGAGGAAAGAAATAAGTAAAGTATGCATTTTTTAAAAAGAATAGAGCAACAAAGCTAAAAGATATTTCTTTTAAAAGACAACTAAAATGATGAACCTAATAAGACAAGGAAAAAAAATAAAAAAGAGGCACAGGCAATGTAAAGAATAAAAATAAAGTGTAAAAGGATGTATGTTATAGTATGTAAATTGTCTCGATTTTTTAAAAAATGGAAAAAAATAAAAAGAATGGAAAAAATGGGTATCCCATGAATAACTTCATGCTAATAAATTGTAAAGCATTGGCAGGTTAACAATTTTCTTGAAACTATAATTTAACCGAAACAGACTTAATGAGATATAGAAAACTTAAAAAACCTATTAATTACTTAGGAAATTGAAATAATTAAAAATCTGTCTCCCTATGAACCAATTAGTTTAACCCACAGGCCCTATTGATTTTACAGGTGAGTTTTACTAAATATTTAAAGAACAGTTAGATATATTTTTCCAGAGCATAGGAAAGAGGGAAAGATGCTTTTCAACTCATTTTAAAGCTATTTTTTCTTGATCAAAATCAAAGGACAGGAAGAGAATATAATTAGAGGCTATTATCACTTATGAACATAGATGCTAAATTCTAAAAAGTCTAAGGGTATCAGAAATTAGAAAGATAAGGAACAAAAGGAGTTCTCAAACATCTAGTTGGAGTATAAATCTGTATAACCACTTTTGAGAGCAGTTTACCAAGACCTAGTAAAATTGAAAATGGTTATATTTCAAAACCTAGCAATTCTAATTATATAGTATAAAGATAAGTTCATATATCCACAAGAATACATGACATTACCAAATTCTCAGAATGAAAAGTTAGGGTGGGTGTGGGTTAGGGACCTAATATAGGAGAATGAATGTATAAAATAGAGACACTATTATGGAAATTAATAAACTATTATGGAAGTCAAGATGGATAAAACTCAAAAAGTAAGTGAAAATGTAAACTGAAGAATGCATATAGTATGGTGTCACTTGCATGAAGATTAAAAGCATACAAAAATGCAATACAGTTTTCCTATGTATGTAGAAAATAAAACATGCATGGAACTGTTAACCCCAGTTATAAGATAAGAGGGAGGGAATGGAATGAGATTGGGAAGGAGTAGGTGTGTATATACATACATATATACATATACATATACATATACACATAAATATATACACTATAGGCTCAGGTGTATGGATTCGTGAACCAATGGGGTCCCTTGGCTTGGCCTATGCCCTCTTGCAATCCGGGACCAAACGGGGGGTGTAGTAGTTCACAAAGTAGCAGGCACCTGGGAAAGTGGCTGCTCCTGTTCATCCTGGCTCCTTTGTGACTGCCTCAGTCACAACTTGGTAGTGCTGCTGTGGAGACAGGAGAGGCTCATGCCGCCGCAGCTGCGCCCACCAGCATCTGGCATCAGTCAGCTGAGCGGTGCTCCCCACTGTAGGAACATGGGAGTGTACTGACCACCAGGAGGCCTTGAGCATCTGCCCCCTGGTGGTCAGTGCACGTCATAGTGAGGGGTCATTTGGTCATCAGTCACTTAGGCTTTTATATAGAGAGAATACACACACACACACACACACACACACACACACACATATGTATGTATGTATATGTATCTGAAGGAGATAGGTCAAAATGCTTAGATATATATAAGGTAGATGATGGTACAGAAATTTGTCATACTTTTTCATATTCTTGAAATATTTTATTCAAAAACAACATTATACCAATTTCAATACTCTATTCTAGACTTTTTTTTTTTTTATCTCTAGGATTAATAAGAATGACCAACCCAGCCACTGTTATGATACCCCAGGGTGGAAACATGTCATCTTCCATGATGGCACCAGGTCCCAATTCAGAACTGCAGCCCAGGACTCCTCGCCCTGCTTCACAGTCAGGTATTGACCTCCAGTCTTTTAGGATCAAAGAGGCTGGAACTTGCTGCACAGATCATTACAAATTCAACTGTCTCTGATGGAGTTCCCAATTGCCCAACTTAAATGCCATATTCTTTACAAAATGTGCCCTAATTTCTTCAAGCTAAAAGTCATCATTTCCTTTTTAAATTTTCTCATTATCCTCTTATAAGTTTTACTCCATCATTCCTTAAAAAATGCACTATTGGCCTACTTAGTCCTGCAAGATACTTCATGACATTGAATTCTAAACATGGAAGTAAATTTGCTAAATGCATCCTTCTCCCAGAGATACAAAATTAACATTTTGAAGGCACTGAAAGTCTTTGGAGACACTGAAGTTGTGAGGTCCAATTTTCCCAAACCTAATTGTCTATGTTTTTGTTTTATTTTCTTATGACATTACTAACACAGTTCCCAAAATATGCTCTGAAAATACTACTCCACATTTTATGTTTGTCTCTATGTCCACTTTTTAATCACAAGCTCTTTTAGATAAAATTTATCTTTCTATCATCTTGGTACATTGCTTTTCATATAGAACAATGGTCGGCAAACTCATTAGTCAACAGAGCCAAATATCAACAGTACAACAATTGAAATTTCTTTTGAGAGCCAAATTTTTTAAACTTAAACTTCTTCTAACCCTGCTTCTTCAAAATTGACTTGCCCAGGCCATGGTATTTTGTGGAAGAGCCACACTCAAGGGGCGAAAGAGCCGCATGTGGCTCACGAGCCGCAGTTTGCCGACCACGGATATAGAAGATGCTCACAAACATTTCATTGAATGGTACCAGCAAATTTTACTCTGTATTTACAGAACTTCCAAGACTACTGCTCTAAGACCTAGGTTTCAGTAAGTTAATTTTTGCTTTGTTGACGGTTTTTAAACAGATGCAATGGATCCACTCCTCTCTGGGCTCCATATACAGCAGCAAAGTCATCCCTCAGGATCTTTAGCGCCCCCACATCACCCATTGCAGCCTGTCTCTGTGAACAGACAAATGAACCCAGCTAATTTTCCCCAGCTGCAGCAGCAGCAGCATCAACAGCAGCAGCATCAACAGCAGCAGCATCAACAACAGTTGCAGGCAAGACCCCCACAGCAACATCAGCAGCAACAGCCACAGGGAATTCGACCCCAGTTTACTGCCCCAACTCAGGTGCCTGTTCCTCCAGGCTGGAACCAGCTGCCTTCCGGAGCCCTTCAGCCTCCTCCAGCTCAGGGTTCTCTGGGCACAATGACTGCAAACCAAGGGTGGAAGAAGGCTCCCTTGCCTGGTCCAATGCAACAGCAACTTCAGGCAAGACCATCCTTAGCCACGGTACAGACACCTTCCCATCCTCCCCCTCCATATCCCTTTGGCAGCCAGCAAGCCTCACAAGCCCATACAAACTTTCCTCAGATGAGCAATCCAGGCCAGTTCACAGCTCCTCAGATGAAGAGCATGCAGGGAGGGCACTCCAGGGTTCCAACCCCCCTGCAGCAGCCCCACCTCACCAACAAGTCTCCTGCCTCCTCACCCTCCTCCTTCCAGCAGGGATCCCCTGCATCCTCCCCAACGGTTAACCAAACTCAGCAGCAGATGGGACCAAGGCCACCTCAAAATAACCCACTTCCCCAGGGATTTCAACAACCTGTCAGCTCTCCGGGTCGGAATCCTATGGTTCAACAGGGAAACGTGCCACCTAACTTCATGGTGATGCAGCAGCAACCACCAAATCAGGGGCCACAAAGTTTACATCCAGGCCTAGGAGGTGAGAAACACTGAAGCTATTTGTGTCGGTAAATTTAGTGAAGATAGATCTTAGTAGTACTTCAATTTTGAGATGATAGAGGGAGTGAAATAAGGATGTAATTATTTGGTTTTGTGGATATAGTGGTGATATTTGATATAAATTAGTTAACTTGATACATTATGCAGTATCTTACTGGTTACATTTAAGCTAGCCCTCTGGATAAAAATACAGGTAAAATTCAATATAGATATGCTCATTTTGTTTTCAAGTTATTTCTGCTTTATCTTATACTAGTAAAATGTCCAGAAGAAACATGCATTTTATTAACAACTTATACTGCTCGGCTGTAGAAAAATTTAAGATTATGCAATACAGCAAAAAATAAAGATAAGTAAGGGTCTTATTGGGGGAAGGCCCTTCTAGTTTTCAATTTTGATAATCCTAAGTTAGTAAAATAGCATGGTATTTGTAAAATTTAATTAAAGGGGAGTAAGTTGAGAAATCATTGACTTTTATAGTTTTATAATGTCAATGCCTGCTCCTTAGAGAGGGAATTCCACCAGTTATACCTAAAGGAGATTTATTTATTTATTTTGTAAGGTGCCTCTTGTATGAAGAAAAAGCAATGGAGCTTAATGTGTGAGAGGTAAAACGATTACAGTAAAACTTATCCATCTCCATGTTTATTATTTATTCTTATTAATCATTGATCTAGTGCACATGAATGTGCTTGGAGCTTTTCAGTAAGGTATAGAGAGTATCAGTAATGCTGTCATCTGATAAACATACCCCCACCAAAGACACCCATTGCCTACCCAGAAAAAATCCTTGCATCTTTAGTGCAACATAGCAAAGGCATGTTCCCATGGTTTCTGGTGAAATTAAATTGCTCATCAGTCTTTTCACTCTTGTAATTAATTTTATGGACATGCAGGCTCTAATATTTGAATCCTAAGAAGTTTTCAGAAAATGCAAGAATGTTTCAGCTCCAAACTTCACTGTTCTGGGCATCTAGCCCTGGATCAGTGGAAGCTGGGTAGTCCCTCCTGCAAATGTGATTTCTTATTTAATTACAATGGAAGCATGCAAATGGGGACTTGTCACTGCTAAAGAAAGGACAAATGCATATTTGTCTACAAAGCGTTTTTCAGGACATTGAAAATTTGGCCCTTAAAAAAAGTAAATGGACTAATACAAAAAAATTTAAGTGAGCTTTAGGTCTTGATGCTTTCATAGAGCAGATGATGTGCTCACCTAGGTGATCTGGCCACATCAAGGCCTACGTTATAAACAGTGAGTGTGTTTGGAGATTCTCCTAATTACAGATTTCCTGAAATTAAACCTTCCTCTAAACGGAAGTAGTACTTTAGTGATATTCCATTAGAGCATGGTTTTTGCTGTCAGAATTGCAGCAAACTTTATGAGGGGAAGGCATAATGATAAATTTTACATAGCTTCACTTTGAAGCTCTTAAGAATTGCTTCTAATCTTTAGTCTTTTTCAAAGAGACAAGCATAATATTGGGGGGAAGTTTTCTACAAAGGATATTGTCATCTATTTCCCTCAATGGAGAAAAAGACCACCTATTGGGACCTAGCTTTTGTTTCATAGTATTTCTTATCAATTTGTTTGAATATGAGAGAACTTATTTCATTGGTACCTGTATTAAAGTATGTAAAGTTTTAGAGTCCACTCTATTACAGAGAGAAGTAAAGAGCTCTAAACCTTGCTGTGATATGGCCTCAGATCACATTTAGGGAGCAGATTGCCATCTTTTCCTTGGCATGTTCTAAGTGTAAATTTTTAGTATTTCTTTTTCATTTTGACAATGCTCATGTAAGAGATTGTGTTGATTTTTTTAACCATCTTTCCCAACCTTATTATTAAAGATCTTACCAGTGTGACAGAGAGCTAAGCCAGTGGAGACTTCATGCAGCTCATCCTTCCTTATTCATTCCACATCTAAGAAAGAGTATAAATTTGCTAGGTAACTGCCTTACTCATTGTTTTCTATTAAGGAATGCCTAAACGCCTCCCACCTGGCTTCTCAGCAGGACAGGCCAATCCGAACTTTATGCAAGGTCAGGTGCCTTCGACCACAACAACCACCCCTGGGAATTCAGGAGCCCCTCAGCTGCAAGCAAATCAAAATGTCCAGCATGCAGGTTTGTTTTCTATGATTTATTCAGCAAGCATTTTTGTTGAGATTTAATAGTAAGAGTATTGTGTAGTAGATACTGTAATGAGCAACAAGGATAAACACAAGTCTTGTCTTTCACCCTAATTTCAAACCCATGAATATGAATTATTCTTTCAAGGCAATAACTGATCTGTTGAAAGTAGGTACAATGTCTCAAAAACCTGGAAACATCTAAGAAAAAGATACAAAGAACAGGTTTTGGCAATTAAAAATTTTTTTTTCTTAAAAGAACCAAATAATAAATATAAAGTATCCCAAAAAATGTATACACACACTTTAAATAATTATCAAGGCAGCATTTATTAAAATACATTTCATTTTCAAAATTGAACTATCAGCTATTAAAGTGAGTATACATTTCTTGGGGACATCCTGTATTTTTTGGCTTTGCAACTACTTAACTGTGCTGTTATGCAAAAGAAGCCAGAGACAATATATAAATGAATGAGTTTGGCTATGTCCAAACACTTTATTTGCAAACTGGCCATGGGTCTGATTTGGCCCATGGACTATAGTTTGCCGACTGCTGAGTTAGTAAAAAGGTAAAAGGTGTTTGTGGCAGAGGAAACTATAAGTACAAAGGCATGGAGGCACATGACATTTTGGACAGCTGCCAACTTTAAAAATATATAGTACATGTTAGCTATGTTTGTGCTGAATATCTGTATTCTGATTTACACTGTGGTGTTTGAAAACTGAATTTTAATGCCAGCAATGTATTGTATTATATATAAGAAGAAATTTCGGAGGAGAAATAGGTTGTAGCAAAACACCTATAACAGCTATAAAAAGTATTTATAAAAGAGCATTATATAAGTCCAGACTTCATGTTTCTAATTGCTTAGGTACCATTTGACTAATCCTCTTACTGTTTCTCATTCAGGCAGTTAGGACTGAGGTAGTGCAAACATTTTCTCAACTCCCATCCCCACTTACAGTTAATTTAGTTATATGGTTCCAGTTTTAATTGTAAATCATTAAGGAAAGATAAAAATACTAACTAACCTAACAAAAAGTAATTCAAACTATTATACCTCTTGAAGAGTGAGAGTAGGGAAACTGCTTGTCTTTCCCTATCTGCTAGTGCAAAACTGCATTCTTGAACTAGGTGAATTCATGTTTTCTAGAGGAAGTGTTAAAACCGATAAAGTTATTTATAATTCCACCCAAGCACAGGTTTATATTTTTTATATGGTGCCTTCCACATGCTCATATTGTTTTGATTTCCCCATTAGACCATCTAATATATCTCTACTCTTGCCCATCATTTTCTGTACTCTTACCATGCTTTATTTCTATCTTGTTAGCTTTTACTTCTTCCTGTAAAAATACTTATCTGTTTGTTATTGTGTCTTGTCTACTAGACTTCAAAGTATCGGGATTTGATTGGTCTTACTTATTGATATTGCCTCAACCCCAACAATGCCTTGTACATATTAGGTACTCAATGTATAATTGTTGATTGAATGATAGCTTTGGGAAAATCCCAAAGACCCAAAATAAGTAAACACTGCAGCAAGCCAGGCAGTGTTCTTTGTCTAAATTATAAATCACTGAGAATAGAACATATCCCATGTGGTTCATCAGAAACTGCCAGAGCAGAGTCACTGAAGTTTTAACATCCTTGTTAACTATCCTCTCTCTACAGCTTCTGGGTCATCTGTCATTTGACTCCTTCCAGGGACTCAGCTTTCAGATCAGGATTAAATAACTTTTCCCACACTGGGGCAGAGGAGACTTGTCCTTAGGAAGTATTAGGTGTTCTTTCCTTTAAAGTACATCATCGCTATATCACACATATAGAGTCATTATTAGTTTTTCAAGAAGCACTTTTAGCCCTACCTAGTGTGGCACAAGGATAGAGTGTCGGCCTTGCAGACTGAAGGGTCTCAGGTTCAATTCCAGTAAATGGCACATGTTCAGGTTGCGGTCTCGATCCTCAGTGAGGGGGGCATGCAGGAGACAGCAATCAATAGTTCTCTTTCATCATTGATGTTTCTCTCCCTCTCCCTCCTTCTCTGAAATCAATCAATAAATATATATTAGAGACCTGGTGCACGAGATTTGTGCATAGGTCTCTAATATTTGTGCACAGGTCTCTAATACTGCACCCTCTCCAGTCTGGGACCCCTTGAGGGATGTCCAACTGCCCTCACAATCCAGGACTGCTGACTCCCATCGGCTCGCCTGCCTGCCTCCCTGATTGCCCCTAACTGCTTCTCCTTGCCAGCCTGATCACCCCCTAACCACTCCCCTGCCAACCTGATTGATGCCTAACTGCCCTCTCCTGCCAGCTGTTTGCCCCTAACTGTCCTCCCCTGCAGGCCTGCCTCCACCCCCACAACTGCTCTCCCCTGAAGGCCTGGTCATCCCCAACTTCCCTCCTCTGCCAGCCTGGTCACCCCTAACTGCCCTCCCCTGCAGGCCTGGTCCCTCCCAACTGCCCTCCCCTGCTTGCCATCTTGTGGTGGCCATCTTGTGTTCAGATGAGGGGTAGGATCTTTGACCACATGGATGCAGCTATTTGTGTGTTGGAGTGATGGTCAATCTGCATATTAGATAGGATAGAGGCCTAGGTGTCTGGGTGGGGGCCAGATGGTTTGCCCTGAAGAGTATCCCGGATGGGGCATGGAGCGGCCTGGGCAAGGGGCCTGTGGTAGTTTGCAGGCTGGTCATGCCCCCTGGTGACCCAAGTGGAGGCCCCAGTATCTGGGATTTATTTATCTTCTACAATTGAAACTTTGTAGCCTGGAGCAGAGCCAAGCCTTCTGCTCACTCTGTGGCAGGCAGCCATTTCTATTGGGATTTATTTATCTTCTATAATTGAAACTTTGTATCCTGGAGTGGAGACCTAGGCCATCAAGGGCAGGCGGAAAGATTAGCTTCCTCCATTGCCAGGGAAACCCAAGCCTCCCTCCTGTTCTCCATGGCCGCAGTCATCTTGGTTGGGTTATTTGCATATTTGCTCCTGATTGTCTGGTGGGCATGGCTGGTGGGTGTAGCAGTTGTATGGTCAATTTGTTTATTACTCTTTTATTAGATAGGATATACTAATAAAAGGGTAACATGCTAATTAGACTGGAAAACCTTCCAGGAGACTTTCCAGACCTTCTTCTGGACAAAGCCATGGTGGAGGGGACAAGGTAGAGGCGGTTAGAGGCCAAGAGGGGAGGGCAGCTGTGGGTGATCAGGTCAGGATGGAATGGGAGTTGTGGGTGATAAGGCTGGGGGGGAGGGGGGAAGCAGCCCAGCAGGAGGGCAGTTGAGGGTGAGCACACTGGCACAGGGGACAGTTGAGATGATCAGGCTGGCTGGGCGGTGGGGGGGGTCATTTGGGGGCAAGCAGGCCGGCAGGCAGAGTGGTTAGGGGCAGGCAGGCAGGCAGGTGAGTGTTTAGAAGCTAGCAGTCCTGGATTGCGAGAGGGAGGTCCTACTGCCAGTTTAGGCTCAATCCCTATAAACTGGCAGTAGGACATCCTTCGAAGGGTCCCAGATTGGAGAAGGTGCAGGCTGGGCTGAGGGACAACCTCCCCCGACCCCTGCATGAATTTTGTGCACCAGGCCACTATATAAAAGAAGTACTTTTAAATGTCTTCTTGGCATTGTTGAGGTTTTTCTAAGAGGATGCATCACATTCTTTGTTTCCTTGACCCATCTAACGCAGAGTTTTTTCATTAATTAATGTGCTTTTCATAAATTTTCATCATGAGGTAGCTATGAGTAATTTTTTAATCTACTCACTATCAATTATTTATTAAATTAATAAAAAGCTAAAACCAGACTGCAGCCCATGACAAATTCACACGTGTTCTCTTAAGGCCCAATTCCCGCCCCAAACTGAGATGTTACTAGACCTGGCAAATAAGGGCAGGTGTCACAGGGAGGATGCCATGCTCTCCCCAGAGAGTCCCAGAAAATAGTTCTAATTGAATTTGGCTATTGCTTTTAATTAGCCCATTCCATCATCTCCCCAACATGCCCTCCAGATCCCACCTTGACATCCTCAGCTGTAGACAGAGACCCAATCAGGCCTGGAGGGTGGACCCCCGCCATTGGTATAGGAAAAATCTCTTTGGCCAGAAACATTCAGTGGGTATGGGGTCCAAGCCATTTTTAAATAATGAGATGTTGCCTTGCTCTTCATTTAATCTGAAAGAAACTAAGTTTTGTTGATCTTTGAAATGTTGTCTTTAAGATATCAAATAAGAGTAATGAAATGGATTCTTCTCTATTGTATGGTTATTGAGAATGTAATAATTATCCCACAGTCAAATCTCCATACTTTAAAAAATCCAATGCAGCCGAATCCTGTTTGGCTCAGTGGTAGAGCGTTGGTCTGCGGACTGAAGGGTCCCAGGTTTGATTCCGGTCAAGGGCATGTATCTTGGTTGCACATCCCCGGTAGGGGGTGTGCGGGAGGCAGCTGGTCGATGTTTCTCTCTCATCGACGTTTCTAGCTCTCTATCTCTCTCCCTTTCTCTCTGTAAAATATCAATAAAAAATATTTTTAAAAAAATAAAATAAAATAAAAAATCCAATGCAGGTATGTCAAGCACAGCACATTTGTTTATGTTGGTCAATGGATATATGGGTGATGAGTGTTTTTCTAATTGAGATCATTTGAGTATCTTAATACCACTAAGATAATAGTATTTCTGAAACTGTGCTTTTTTTTTTTTTTTTTTTTTTTTTTTCCCCTTTTTTCAGGTGGTCAAGGAGCTGGTCCTCCTCAAAACCAGATGCAGGTGTCCCACGGGCCACCAAACATGATGCAGCCCAGCCTCATGGGAATTCATGGCAACATGAACAACCAGCAGACTGGTAGTTCTGGGGTTCCTCAAGTGAATCTGGGCAACATACAAGGCCAGCCCCAGCAGGGCCCACCATCTCAGCTGATGAGCATGCACCAGCAGATCGTGCCCTCCCAGGGCCAGATGGTCCAGCAACAAGGAAGCTTGAACTCTCAGAACCCTATGATCCTTTCAAGGACCCCGCTTATGCCGCAGGGCCAGATGATGGTGAACCCTCAGAGCCAAAATCTTGGGCCCTCGCCCCAAAGGATGACCCCACCCAAGCAGATGCTTCCCCAGCAGGGCCCACAAATGATGGCGCCACATAACCAGATGTTGGGGACTCAGGGGCAAGTTTTGCTCCAGCAGAACCCAATGATAGAACAGATCATGACCAATCAGATGCAGGGGAATAAGCAACAGTTTAACACTCAGAACCAATCCAATGTCATACCGGGACCAGCACAGATAATGAGGGGACCAACTCCAAACATGCAAGGAAACATGGTGCAGTTTACGGGACAGATGTCAGGACAGATGCTGCCCCAGCAAGGGCCTGTGAACAACAGTCCTTCTCAGGTTATGGGAATTCAGGGCCAGGTCTTACGGCCACCGGGGCCCAGCTCACACATGGCCCAGCAGCATGGTGATCCTGCTACTACAGCAAATAATGACGTCAGCTTGTCTCAAATGATGCCTGATGTTAACATGCAACAAACCAATATGGTCCCTCCGCATGTGCAGGCCATGCAGGGAAACGGTGCCTCGGGAAACCACTTCTCAGGCCACGGGATGCCTTTCAATGCGCCGTACAGCGGAGCGCCCAATGGAAACCAGATGTCCTGTGGTCAGAACCCAGGCTTTCCGGTCAATAAGGACGTCACACTAACAAGTCCGTTGTTGGTCAACTTACTGCAGAGTGATATCTCTGCAGGCCATTTTGGGGTAAACAATAAACAAAACAATACCAATGCAAATAAACCGAAGAAGAAGAAACCCCCTCGGAAGAAGAAAAATAGTCAGCAAGATCTAAAGTAGGTTATGATAAGTTTGTGTGTTTTTTAAACAAAATATATTTATTTTAAAGTATTTATATATTCATGTCATGTTAAAGTTGTAATGGGTGTTTTTTGCACATAGGTATACAGAATGATATATGAGTTAATTATGCCCCCTACTGACTGTATTTTAAAAACAAAATAACATTACAGAGAATAGAGAATGTGGTCCACATAAATGCACCACATAAAAACCACATGTACCTTTTAAATATAAATGTATGTCATAAAAAGGACCTTTCAGATCTTAAATATATTTAAGATAGAGTTTATTAGAGAAAGGAGGACTTGAGAAGAAAGTATAATTTTGGAATTGACTGCTTAGAATCATGTTACACAATTTTAGGAAGCATTATTTACATTATAATATTGCCGGCGGTGCTCGACCAGGGAATTTTGCTAAGGACACTTGGCAGTGTGTGGATATACTTTGGTCATTACTACGTGGAATGGGGGCAGGGGAGGAATTCAGTGCTACTGGCATCTAGTGGGTAGAGGCCAGGGATGCAATTAAACATCCTAAAATGTATAGGCCAGTCCCCATGATAAAGACTTATCTGGTCCAAATGTTAATAATGTTGAGGTTAAGAAATTTGCTCTACATGCATATTTCCTCTTAAGTTGTATAACAAGCCAACAAAGACAAATGAGGTATTATGACTTGCTTAAACTTTGTTAAATGGGTCAAAGACATTATATTTTTTATATCAAAGAACACAATTTTAACCCTTTTTATTTGGGCTACAAAATTGTACTCTAGATAGCTTCATATGTCCACCATTTAGCTCTATTCTAAGGATGATACAATCTGTACATAAGCTTTTGATCTGCTAATTATATATATATTTATTGTTGAGTGTATTACAGATGTCCCCCTTCTTCCCTCATTGCCCCCCTCCACCTGGTTCCCAATTCCCCAAGGTTATCTGTGTCTATAGGTAAGATCTATAGTTAATCTCTTCCCATCCCTCTGCCTCCTTCCCTCTGAGATTCATCAGTCTGTTCCATGTTTCCATGCCTCTGATTTTATTTAATTCACCAGTTTGTTTTGTTCATTAGATTTCTTGTTTATTTTTAGATACAATTATTGATAGATACATATTTATTGTTCATATTTTTATATACTTTTTTCTACTTCCTCTTCTTAAAAAATACCTTTCAACATTTCATGTAATACTAATTTAGTGGTGGTAAACTACTTTAGTCTGTGGAATCTCTTTTCCTGACCTTCAATTCTGAATGATAGCTTTACTGGGTAGAATTATCTTGGGTATAGATCCTTACTATTCATCACTTGGAGTATTTCTTGCCACTCCCTTTTGGTCTACAAAGTTTCGGTTGAGAAGTTAGCTGACAGTCGTATGGGAGCTTTCTTGTAGATATGATAACTAACTGCCTTTCTCTTCCTGCTTTTAAGATTCTCTCTTTGCCTTTAACCCTTGGGATTTTAATTATGATGTGTATTGGTGTGGGCCTTTTTGGGTTCCTCTTGTTTGGTACTCTCTGTGCTTCCTGGACTTGTAAGTCTATTTCTTTCACCAGGTAGGAGAAGTTTTCTGTCATCATTTCTTCACATAAGTTTTCAATATCTTGCTCTCTCTTTTTTCTCTACCCCCATAATGCAAATGTTGGTATGCTTAAAGTTGTCCCAAAGACTCCTTATATACCATCTTCATTTTTTTTTCTTTTTCTTTTTTTTTCTTTTTGCTTCTTCATATTCCAAATCATTGATTTGATTCTCAGAATCCTCTATTGTTGCATCCCTGTAAATTATGCTTAATTTCTGTCTGGTCCTTTTTCATGTCTTTAACATTCTCACTAAGATCCTTAAAAGTCTCACTAAGTCCCTTGAAGCTCTCATAAAAATCCCTGAGTAACCTTATAATCATGGTTTTGAACTCTGTATCCAGTAGTTTGCTTGCTTCCATATGTTTGTTTCTAGGTAGAGCTGCTATGTCTCCTGGAATTAGTAATAGTAGAGTGGCCTTATGTAGTGGGTGTCCTGTATATTAACCTGTACTTTCTAAATTCAGACTCAGTAAGCCTTTCAATTATATAATTTTTTCAATAGATCTAAGTTAAATTCTTTACTGCTATCAACCTATGGGAATGATATTTTTTGTGGTACTTTTTCTTCCTCCCAGTTGTCTAGGAGCAAAATTGCAAGGTTGTGCAAAAATTATGGTATGCATTTTTGCTATCTTCACCAGCCCTGAGGGAGATTGCTTACTTAATGGGTCTACAGATTGTTAAAAGGCCTTATACAGTGCCATTGCTAGGAAAGGGAGACAGTAGGTTTTATGGGAAGAACACCTCCTCCCCACTCTTCCACTAGCTCACTGTAGAACTTTGGGCCTGTCTCATACCTCTCTGGGCCTTTGTTCTCTCATCCATACCATAAGGTGGCTGGACTAGATATCTGAAATTTTTTTTAGCAGTATAGTTATTTGAAAGTAAAGGATACTATAAAATCCTTACCTGTAATTTGAAGTGAGAGAGAAGTCATATAAGGAACTAATCGATGCAAGCATGTGTTCTTTGGCTTTTTAAATGGATTAAAGGTAAAGCTCAATTACTACACAGAATACGGTGAGATAAAATACTGTCGAAAAGTAGATGGCCAAGAACAGGGCAAGGAGAACCTAAAGGTAGGAAAGAAATGTGCAATTATGAGTAAGCTTACAAACAAAATGAGGGATGTGAGCACTGGTTCTTGGGGAATGTGAATGTTAGTAAATAACATTTTTTTCATTTCTTTCCCATTAAGAATTTTAATCTATTAATACACTCAGGTAAAGTATCCCAAACCCAATAGGGATGTCTGCAAATGTTCATTCTGCAGCAAAATTAATTGCTTTGTTCTGGTATTCTCTGTCTCTTCTGAATACCATTTTCATCAGCAATCTACAACTTCTTGACAGTTTTTTTTTAAATGTTGGAACCAGCACTGTAATATCTATGAAAAAGAAAATCTGAACTCTCTGGTTGAATTTTATATATCTAGCACAGATAGTATGGTTTCTCAGGGACAGTACCTTATAATGTTGATAGCTCAAACTATGATCCAGTCTTAAAACATCTAAAAGATATGCTAATAGTTTTTAAAAATTTAATGAAATTTCCAGATTTTTTTTAATTTTTTTATTTTATTATTATTATTATTTTTTTTTTTTACTGATTTTTAGAGAGGGGAAGGGAGAGGGAGAGAGAGAGAAACATCAATGTAATGATCTGCTGCCTCCTGCACACCCCCTACTGGGGTTCAAGTCTACAACCTCAGCATGCATCCTGACCAGGAATCAAACAAGCAACCTTTCGGTGCATGGGACAATGCCCAACCAACTGAGCCACTTTGGCCAGGGCCCAGATTATCTTTATGCCAAATATTAAATATTTTATTGAACTAGGGAGATGTAAATAATGGTAGGCATTATCATGCAAACAGATTTTAGTTCTTCCGAAATGCGGGAGTGGGGGAGAGGTTTAAGCCAGTTTTGTGTATGAACAATACAATTTACTCAAATGTGCAATTTATTTTTAGTACCCCAGATACTCGCCCAGCTGGTCTAGAGGAGGCCGATCAGCAGCCATTGCCTGGAGAACAAGGAATTAATTTGGACAGCTCAGGCCCTAAACTGCCAGAATTTTCAAACCGACCACCAGGTGATATAATGTTAAAGATTATATTCTTGTCATCATTTACACAGCAGTACAAGACTTCTCTTCAGGGAAAAAATAATATAATATTTTGTCTCCTAACTATGCTAGCAGTTTAATGTGTCTAGTATTTAGAAATTTTGCTTTGATAAGTAAAAATTTCAAATATAATTTCTGAAGGCATATATATTCTTTTCAAATTAGTGTTTAAGTCCTCATAAGATCAGAGTGAAATGTCAAGTGCCTCTTTATTCTTGTCAATATAATTGGCATCAAATGGGATAAGATTAAATGAAAAGATATTTTCACTTTATTCCTGCTTGCCTGCTTTTTTCCTGTACCCTTTCCTACTGGAGCTTTTTCAGAGCAGAGAAAATAAGTTTTTAAATAGAAGTTTTATTATGAATCTTTGAACATAAAGAATACATAAAAAGTTATAAAAAGGACACTTGTGTACCTACCACCTAATCTAAAAATAAATAGGACCAATATTGTGTTGTACCCCTCTCTGGTTATAAAATAATATTACCCTCTCAATGTTGAAAAGGAAAATGTTTCCAAAATTCATTCATTCCAACCTAGGAATTATAGAACCAAGGCCAGTTGCCATAATATTTATACCTGAGCAGTGATTTGTAACCTTACTCCCCTGTAACATAGTTGAAAACACACAAGCCTGTCACATTTAGGACACTCTCCTCTATGTGTACAAAAGACTATGTTTTTTACTTTCTCACAAATTATTTCACCTTCTTTTTGGCATATAAGAAAGTGGTATCATTTTAGGGATAAACTTTAACCCATCCTTAATTTATGTATTTTTAAAGTAATTCAAAAATTAAGTTCATCATTATGTCAATACTTTGTGTTATTTATTACAAATTCTTTGGGCATACCACACTTCCCATCAGTGAGTTGCAGCAGCACAGTTGAGGCTTGGCGGTTACCAGTCTTTGGCATGTCTAGAAGGTGTTCAAACTTCCCTCAGACATATCTGAAGTCTTGTTATATGAATCCCGGGGTCCTCAAACCTGCGATTATTGCTTCCTATCTACAGTTTGCAAACTGGGAGCCTACAGGCTGAATTTGGCCTATAATGTGTTTGTGGGGTCATGCAGTGTCTTAAACCAAACAAAAAGCCTAAATTTAAATGCCTTTAGACAAGAGCATTTGCTCAGTGTTTTGACTCTGTCCACAGAACTCCTTCTGTCTTATATCAGGCCACTTCTCTTCACAACCAGCCTGAACCCTAAAGGCATATGAGTTTGCATCCCTTGATTAATAAATTTGGTTCTTGATTATATTATATGCACTGTGTGTGTCCTGGCTTTTCCTCTTCGCCATTCTGTTACAGCAACCTCCATCTGTCTTATCACTAGTGTCCTTTGAACTGCTGCCTCCAGCTTCTAGAACTTTATATCAGTCATGCCCTTTGCTCTTAACCTTTGAGAGGCTGCAGTATTGTCTATGCTACATTCTTTGGAATTACTATACTGTCTGGTGGCCTGATTTTAAAAATACAAGGCATTTGTGTCATAGCCCTGACATCAAGGGGCTTCTATAGTAATTACAATTTTCATAACATGGGAACGTGAGTTAAACCTATGGAAATGCCATGTTACTGATTTTATAAACGTAAAGATGTTACTTGAGCCTAAAACAAAAAAGGATTTTTCAAAAATCTTCACAACTGGATTCTGCACACTGTATTCTGGTGCCGTGGAAATCTTTGGCCAGAAGACATTAGTTCACTTTTGATCACAGGGTCTGACCCGCGGATCAGCAGCATTCGGTAGCTATCTAAAATCTTGAGCAAGCAATTCTTCCACTGCCAGAGCCAACCGTTCTTACTCCTGAACCTTCTTAAGACTTTCCAAATGTGTTTTTCATGCAACAATGGAATAAATCTAGTTTGTGAAATTGTATATCAACTATATGCCCACTTTTTCCCACTGAACCACCTTTATTCTTAGTTAATGTTTTCATCCTTTCGGTTGATGATGTAAGGTTTAGGGTTTAAATGCCAAATAAAATCTTCACAAAAGAATCATTTGAGATGTTGCCTTCTGCAAATCTATAGGGCATTGTCCCTCAGAGTTTTCTTGAAATTATTATTATTGATTTCAGAGAGAAAGGGAGAGGAAAGAGAGAGAGATAGAAACATCAATGATGAGAGAGAATCATTGATTGGTTGCCTCTTGCATGCCCCACATTGGGGATGAAGCTCATAATCCGGGCATGTGCCCTAACTAGAAATCGAACTGTGACCTCTTGGTTCATATGCTCAACCACTGAGCCACGCTGGCCGGTATGAAATTATTTTTTATTCCTGAGGACTATGCTTCTGGCTTACTTATTCTCCGATTATAGATTCATAGAAAATAAAATTAATATACATAAAAAATTTAGTGCCCTCATTTTATTTTTAATGTGTATATCAATTTCTATTAGTCCCAACAATTTATTGAACTAATTTATGTTGGAAGGGTAGTTTAATTCAGTTGGGTTCCCCCAAAGGATTGAACCTAAGAGATGCAGCATCGTGTGTGCGGCCAATGGATTAAAATAAACTTAAATTTCTCTTAAGTAATTGAATCCTAGAATGTTATATTTTACTTCTGTTGAAAGACTTGAAAGGCTATCTCGATGCTTGCTTCGGCAGCACATATAAAATTGGAACAAACAGAGAAGATTAGCATGGCCCCTGCGCAAGGAGGACACGCAAATTCATGAAGCGTTCCATAAAACAAACAAAAAAGGCTATCTTCGATGCTGGCGTTTTCAACAAAACCAAGTCTTAAAAAAATTTATCTGAACAGAAAATTAATTAAACTGAGTGAATCCCAATTGCTTTACTTCATTTACAAATATAGTGAAATATTTATGCCTGCATGAGACCCCAGTACTGAGTGGTCAGCTTCTTGCTGTTGATGGAGTTTTTCTCGTTTCATCTAAATGTTTTCTCGTTTCATCTAAATGTATAAAATCGGCCACTTGCAGTGCATAGCACAGAGTGTCTGTCTATCAGAGTCTTAGTAGTAATGCCTCATTGAGACACTAAAGACTGAGGAGCTCAAGTTGATGCTTTGCTTTTTGCTTCCTTAAGCAGTGTGCCCTTTGCTTATGTCAAATAATGGGGGGGCTGCCCCTGCCCCCCTGGGAGTGGGCATGCCTGAGCTATTTGTGCACAGTTGCCTAAATGAGTATTGTTTGACAATACTCTGAAGGTAGCAAAGCTTTTCTTGCTAAAAATCTAACTTCCCTGATTTTGGGGGCTTGTTTTAGGTTATTCTTCTCAACCAGTTGAACAGAGGCCACTTCAGCAGATGCCTCCTCAGCTCATGCAGCATGTGGCACCCCCACCACAGCCACCACAGCAGCAGCCACAGCCACAACTGCCACCACCACAGCAGCAGCAACCACCACCTCCCAGTCAGCCACAGTCTCAGCAGCAGCAACAGCAACAGCAGCAGCAACAACAAATGATGATGATGCTCATGATGCAGCAGGACCCCAAATCAGTTAGGCTTCCAGTCTCCCAAAATGTCCATCCCCCAAGGGGTCCCCTGAACCCAGATTCTCAGAGAATGCCCATGCAACAGAGTGGCAGTATGCCTGTCATGGTCAGTTTGCAAGTGCCACCATCACCTGATAAACAAAGAATGCCAATGCCTGTGAATACTTCTTTGGGAAGCAATTCAAGGAAAATAGTGTATCAGGAAAACTCACAGAATCCTTCCAGCTCACCACTGGGAGATATGTCCTCACTTCCTGAAGCAAGTAGCAATGAAATACCATCTGTCTCCGGAGGCCCAAATAACATGCCTTCACATTTAGTGGTTTCCCAGAATCAGTTAATGATGACAGTGCCCAAACCTGGACCATCACCCCTTCCAGCAACTCAAGGTGCAACTCCCCAGCAACCCCCTATAAATTCCCTGCCTAGCTCTCATGGCCACCACTTTCCAAATGTGGCTGCTCCAACACAAACATCTAGGCCTAAAACACCAAACAGAGCCAGCCCCAGGCCTTATTATCCTCAGACACCCAACAACCGCCCTCCCAGCACAGAACCTTCAGAAATCAGTCTATCGCCAGAAAGACTCAATGCCTCCATAGCAGGACTGTTTCCCCCACAGATTAATATTCCTTTACCTCCTAGGCCAAATTTAAACAGGGGCTTTGATCAACAGGGCCTAAATCCAACAACTTTGAAGGCCATCGGGCAAGCACCTTCAAATCTTACCATGAATAATCCTTCCAACTTTGCTGCCCCACAGACTCACAAATTAGATTCTGTGGTGGTGAATTCTGGAAAGCAGTCTAATTCTGGAGCAACAAAACGGGCAAGCCCAAGCAACAGTCGGAGGTCTAGTCCTGGGTCCAGTAGGAAAACCACTCCAAGTCCTGGGAGACAAAATTCAAAAGCCCCTAAACTCACTCTGGCCTCTCAGACAAATGCAGCCCTGTTACAGAACGTGGAGTTACCAAGAAATGTATTGGTCAGTCCCACTCCTTTGACTAATCCCCCTGTACCTGGGAGCTTTCCTAACAACAGTGGGCTGAACCCTCAGAATTCTACCGTGCCTGTGGCTGCCGTGGGGGGCACTCTGGAGGATGCCAAGGAGAGCTTGAATATGCCTCAGGACAGCGATTGCCAGAATTCCCAGGGTAGGAAGGAGCAGGTAAATGTTGAGCTAAAAATGGTACCTGCCCAAGAAGTTAAAATGGTTGTCCCTGAAGATCAATCCAAAAAAGATGGGCAACCTTTGGATCCTAACAAACTTCCCAGCGTCGAAGAGAACAAAACTTTGGTGTCACCTGCTATGAGGGAAGCACCAACATCATTAAGTCAACTTCTTGACAACTCTGGAGCTCCTAATGTGACCCTTAAACCCCCTGGGCTTACAGATGTAGAAGTAGCACCTCCAGTAGTTTCCGGTGAGGATCTGAAAAAAGCATCTGTCGTCCCCACACTGCAGGATCCGTCTTCTAAAGAACCCTCAAATTCCCTAAATTTACCTCATAGTAAGGAGCCGTGTTCAACCCTTGTTCATACAGAATTGAGTGAGGTCGGTTCTAATGTTGCACCAAGCATCCCTCCAGTAATCTCAAGACATGTCAGCTCTTCCTCCATTTCCACTCCTTTGCCCCCAAATCAGATAACTGTTTTTGTAACTTCCAATCCCATTACAACTTCAGCTAACACATCAGCAGCTCTGCCAACTCACCTGCAATCTGCACTAATGTCAACAGTCGTCACAATGCCCAATGTGGGTAGCAAGGTTATGGTTTCTGAGGGACAGTCAGCTGCTCAGTCTAATGCCCGGCCTCAGTTCATTACACCTGTCTTTATCAATTCATCCTCAATAATTCAGGTTATGAAAGGATCACAGCCAAGCACAATTCCTGCAGCCCCACTGACAACCAACTCTGGCTTGATACCTCCCTCCGTTGCAGTTGTTGGCCCTTTACACATACCTCAGAACATAAAATTTTCTTCTGCTCCTGTACCGCCTAATGCTCCCTCCAGTAGTCCTGCTCCGAGCATACATACAGGTCGACCCTTGGTCCTTAACTCACGAGCCACCCCTGTTCAGCTTCCTTCCCCGCCTTGTACAACCTCCCCATTTGTCCCACCTCATCCCCCCATCCAGCAAGTGAAAGAATTGAATGCAGAAGAGGCTAGTTCTCAAGTGAACACCTCAGCAGATCAAAGCACTCTGCCCTCTTCACAGTCAACTACAATGGTTTCTCCCCTTTTGACCAATAGTCCAGGCTCCTCTGTCAACCGGCGAAGCCCAGTTTCATCTAGTAAGGGCAAAGGAAAAGTGGACAAAATCGGCCAGATTTTGCTAACCAAGGCATGTAAGAAAGTTACAGTCTCTCTCGATAAAGGGGAAGAGCAATACGGTGCAGATGGAGAGACTGAAGGCCACGGGGTTGAGACCACAGCTCCAGGGCTTGTGGGAACAGAACAGTTACCCACGGAACTGGACAGTAAAACCCCAACGCCCCCAGCATCCACTATGCTAAAAATGACCTCCAGCCCCATGGGCTCGGGCTCCACCTCAGCAGGACCCAGCTTACCTGGCAGTACCCTTCCCACCAGTGTACGCTCAATTGTAACCACTCTTGTACCCTCTGAGCTCATCTCTGCGGCGCCAGCTACAAAAAACAATCATGTTGGCATAGCATCTGAGCCACTTGCAGGTGGCCTAGTGGAGGAGAAGGTGGGATCCCATCCAGAGCTGCTTCCCAGCATAGGTATGTACTCGGGCCTGGCATCATCTCCTCCTGTCCATTTTTTATGACCTATCCCACAAGAGAAAGCATGATTCCTTTTCTACTTGGAGGAAGAAGAATAGGCTAAATGGCAATAGTGGTGTTTCATTTATTGGAAGTACATTGGGGAAATATATTTTGAAAATCCCATGTTAAGCTTTCGTTGATTAACGTGGTCGGTCCTGAAATAATGATATGCCTTTCATTTATATAGTTTTCCATTTTACAGGGAAACTTTTCTACATATGTCACATCATCTTCATACCAAACTATGTTAGGTAGCCCTGACCCCATTCTGTGGATGAGTAGATTGAAGCTCAGAGTAGTTCAGTATTTGTTTAAAGTGTATATTGTTAGCCTCCAGTTTGACATTGACCCTGAAATGTAAACAGCAGCTTCTGCAGGTTCTCCTTACCATGGTAAAAATGCTCTCAACAGTTTCAGAACAGGGTTCTCCTAGCCCCTTCCTCACTCTACTCTGGCCCAGAGACTATTCCATCCAGACTGCTGCTCCAAAAAATCAGGTTTCATGATAATAGACATGGGCAAAATAAAGTGCTTAAGAGACAAGCTTGGGTTGGTAATCACAGCACCAGCATTTACCAGATAAGTGGCTTTTAGGCAAGTTTCTTGACCACTCCAAACTTAAATTTTCTTCTTTGTTATGTGGGGACAATAATAGCTGTAAGCATTCAATGAGATGATGCATATAACATGCTTAGCACAAATCTAGAACCTAGGAATAATTTAGTAAATGGTAATAAAAGTGTTATTAGTTTCTTTGTAAATTATTCTATTCTGCTTATGTGTATCTAGTCCAGATTATTTCCTCTGTTAAAGTGGCCTAACAATGGAAGCATAGTTTTCTAATACTTCCCCCTCTTCCCTTCGCACTCATCACGCACGCACGCACGCACACATTCTTCCTTCTATGAATCTTAAGTGGTATAGAAGCTAGGAAGGGCCTTTGATATATCCTAGGACAGTTAATAGTGCCTGTCTTGTTTATGCAAGTGCTTCAAGTGCCTACCTCTGCGTGGTAAGCACCCAGGAGAAGGGGCAGAAAGAACACAAGCTTCAGGGTAAGATCAGAGTTAATTCTAGCTCTACTGGTTACCAATCAGAGTTGGATAAATTCCTTAACTTCTTATAAGCCCATTTGCTTCACCTGTAAAATGGAGATTATAATTCTTGCCTCACAGAATTTAGACAAAGACTCAATGAGCCTAGGACAAAGGGGCCAGCACACTGCCTCACAGGTCTCTGGAAAGGCTAATTCCCCCCTGTGCCTTTTCACTCCAATGCTCAGGATAGAGAGGGAAACGGCCTTTCAGGAGCTCACTGCCCTTGCAGAAAATACATACTTCACAGGGCTGAGCGCCGTCCGGTCTGGTTCTAGTTCTAGTTCCACGAAGATAGGTGAGCCCTAAGGATTAAAAAGCAACCTCATATTACTTAAATATAGTCTCTGCTATTAAATGTTTTCATTCTACTTCATTTCAGGGAACTTTTCCCTCTGGTACCAAGAAAATAATGATGAAGTTATTAGAAAATATTTTTATCTGGATCCTATATAATCCTAGGGAAATGTGTGAGCCTTGGGAAGATGAACCAGCAATTGGAAAAATTCTTTTTAAAAAAAATATATTTTATCGATTTTTTACAGAGAGGAAGAGAGAGGGGTAGAGTTAGAAACATCAATGAGAGAGAATCATCGATCAGCCGCCTCTTGCACACCCCCTACTGGGGATGCGCCCGCAACCAAGGTACATGCCCTTGACCGGAATCGAACCGGGGACCTTTCAGTCCGCAGGCCGACGCTCTACCCACTGAGCCAAACCGGTTTCGGCTGGAAAAATTCTTAATTTTAGTTAAGATTGTTTCCATTTTTTTTTCAAGGGGCTGCTGTGCTTTCACCTTGAAAATGTGAGAAAGCAATACTGGAGTTAAAAGTAGAAGTTATCATTTTAAGCTTTATCAGATAAGCATATAAAAACTTAATACAAATGCATTATTGACTTTTTACCTAGTGGAGAGAGAAATCTAAAAATTCATAATTTCCATAGGCAGGTAAAACTTAATGCAGTGAATATAGGGTGTTAGACTCAAGTATTAGGGTGGGAGGACATACCCTTGAGTGGCTGTGGCACATCTGTGCCTTTAATATTTACTGTATGGTCCAAGAACTTTCCATCCTAGAGTTTATTGTGTATATTCTATTCCATTTCTCTTCAAGGGCCCACGTTCTCTCTGTCCTTCAAAAACCTAATTCTTATGTTTCTTCCTTTAGTATCCCTTCTGATTTCTTAGTTTAGAATTGACTCCCATAGCACTTTATATGAATCTGCATATAACACCACAGTGCATTCCAGCGTCCCACATATGTATATCTTATCTTTAATACCTGATTGAGTTCCTGATGGGCAGAAAGGATGTAATTTGGTCTCTCAGTGTGCTTGGCACAGTGCCTTGCCAGATAAGTAAATAACATATCAAATTAATTTTTTAAGTATGAATTGAATACCTATTTTCTATTCATTGCTCTTGCCAGGTGCTGTAGAAAAGTACAAAATAAATTATTTAGTTCATTTCAAACCTCAAGGATTGTAGTCTTTAGAGGGATGAGACAATTTTTTTAAATGGTAAGATGAATGGTGTAATTCATTGTTCCTCTGAAAGTGGTTTGGTTTGCCTACTAAAGTATACTTTTGGGTTTTTTAAAGACAGGACAGAACTTAACCCCAAGAAGCAAAAATTATGAATGCTAATTGTTCTCATAGCCACCTCCTTCCTTGATCTTTGTACACACAAAAAGGAAAAACAAATATCCCTAGGGTTAGTCTTTATTACTCAGTATTGTAGTAATTTTTAAGTAAGTTTTGAAATATACTTTCAAAGTCAACTTCAAGCACTATGTTCTAAGAGTATATATATTTCAGCAGTTACTTAGACCTTGATTCAATCAATGCTTTCTGTTTTGTTTAGAAAATAAAAGACTTATGTGTTTGTTTTTTTCTTGCCTTAGCCCCTTCACAGAATTTAGTCCCAAAGGAAACTCCAGCCACAGCACTGCAGGGGTCTGTTGCCAGACCAGGTAAGGTGCACTTTGGAAAAACTCAGAGTGGAATGGGTTACAAGTGAAGGAACTATTGCTGTCCTGAATGTGCCAGGAAGTGGCTGAAACTATCTTAATCAGTTTGCTTCAGAGCAGTCTTTGGTTAGTGGCAGAGCTTGTGAAGTACTATTTGAGGTTATTTTTCCCCCAACCAGCTTACTCTCTTACACAGTCCTGGTGTCAGCCAGGGAACTCAAGAAGAGCATCTCGGTGCCCATTGTCTGTCTGTCGCCCAGCCATGGGGAGTTTCCATTGCAGAGTTCACCCTGTTCCATAGCCCTGGCATTCATAGCTGGCTGCTGACTGGCTAGAATATGGTACTTACTGGGGTGACAAGCGTTACTGCACTAAGATAGTAATTGCATTATCATGATAGGAGTGGAGGCTTGTTGTGAGAACCTCTGCTACAGTGAGGTAGCAATTCCTTCAGGAAAACAGAGTCATTTCAGTCATCTCTGGATGGCATTAAGTTTCTTCTCATGACCAAGTTACTATAAATAGTACTAAGGATGGTGTTTTTGGAAGGTGAAGTTGATGGTAATCTGACAAATAATTGTTGTGGGATGCTGGGTCAGCTCTGAAGGCATGAGGATCTTGATGGCAATAACAGCTCTGCCTTCGTAGATCAGACAGCCAAACAGATAAATAACATAGATATGTTGCAGTTTGGTCTTGCCCACGTCATTGTCACTGTAGGTCATTCTAGGGGTACCAGAAAAAAAGAAAAGATGTATGATTGCTTTCCACAAGTAGGTTACAATCTCATTTACGGCACAATTGATACACTGGATAACATTTATAAGCAAGAAACACAGTCGTGTTTAATTTTGTTTGTAAGCCAGTGAAAGTGAGGTATCACTTGTGATTGAATGTTTTAAACCTGCTTCAGGGTGCCCTGTCCTGTGTGATAATTTTCTACTGCACACTCTTGGTAAAATCAGGCCTCTAAACAAACGAATGAACAAAAACATTTCAGCCACCCAGACTCTTCCTTAGCTACCATCTGGCCACATGATACCTGACATTTGTGGGACTGGAACAGGTTATTTAGACAAAGGGTTACGATGGTAAACCTCATTTTTTGGTGAGAAAAGAAGCAGCTAAAAAGGGGAAGGAAATTCTGTTTCCTATCCCAAGTTTTTACTCCAGGAAATGGGCTTTATCATATCATATGTCCTCCTCAGAATAACTGGCCCAAGAATCCTGTTCCTTTTCAGAGTTTGACTTAGATGAATCTCCTTAAAATACCCCCAAAGCCACTAATTGCCTTTACCAAACCCGTTTTGGTCCCGATTTACATGAATTAACTGTGATAGTATTGAATTTTGTTCCAAAAGAGCAAGCTGATCAAGATTTTTTTGTAATCACCCTCTTTTGACAAAGCCATTTTCATTTTTGTGCACATTACCTAAGTTTCTTTGCTCCAGCAGAGCCAGTAAGGCAGCAGAGACTCATGAGTTGGCATCTGTTTCTTAGGGAAGTGTTTTCATGTTATATGGGTCAGATATGGGGAGCATGGGAACAAATAAGAATAATCCAGCCCCCTCATTTGAAGCTGCATCAACATGAGCATCATAGCAACAATAATAATAATTAACACTAGGGGGTAGGAGTGGGGTGAAAGGTTATTGGGGATAGGAGAACATTTGTAATACTTTCAACAATAAAGACAAATTTAAAATGTTGTAAATAAATTACTTTAAAATAATAATAGCTAACACGGAGTTATTACTAAGCACCAGGTGCTGTACTAAAATTTCTATATGTGATATTTCATTTAACCTTTGAAATGGGTAAAGTGGTTTCAGATGAGGCATTGAGCACAGAAAGGTCAAGTAATCTGTTTAGGGTCACGTGACTATTAAGCAATGAAGTCATGATTTTAACCTAGGCACTCTAGGCTTCATTGCCTCTAAAGAGATTATCAATTAAGCAATAAGGTATGTTAGACAAGTACACTGAGTGTGAGGTGCTGAATTCTCTAAAAGTAGGGACAGGACTGTAGGAGACTAGAGTCAGGAGAGATCATTGTTATCTGATGCATCCGGGAAGTCTTTTAGAAAAGATGAACTACCTAAAGGCATATAATGTAGGAAAAAGATGTTTTGCTGCTGGAGCTGAGAAAAAAATGCCTGGTAAACCCATAGGATGCTTATTTAAGCAAAAGGTTGATAGACAAATTACTGAGATTTTTCTTTCTTGGCGGGCATTGCTGGGAGGTTGAAGAACAGGAACATAATGGGGGTCTGTAGAAAATATCTCAAAAGCAAAGCTGTCTGCCCTCTAAAATCCCATAAGGAGAATGCATTCTTAATAGATGTAGGAGACTAGAGTCAGGAGAGATCAGACATATTGGAAGATTACTGTCATTATTTAAAAAGTGTCAAAAGATTGGGAATATTTTAAGAATGAAAACAAATCTCATCTACATGAGAGAAAGAGGCTTATTTTACTAACCTAGTTATACCTGGGTGGAATATTAACTAGGCAGTGTGAATTTAGTTCTATTGATCCAAACAGGATTATTTCACAGTGTGGAGTAAAAATAAAAATAAACCAAGTATGTGTCTTATGCCCCAGACAACCGAATTGTGTCTGTGCCAGCTCTGTCTCTATACCATGTAGGGTGAGGATACTGCTGGGCACAGAGACATCTTAGCCTAAATAAGACATTCAGATTCTTGTGGCCGAAACCGGTGTGGCTCAGTGGATAGAACGTTGGCCTGCAGACTGAAAGGTCCCAGGTTGGATTCCCGTCAAGGGCATGCACCTTGGTTGCAGGCACATCCCCAGTAGGGGGTGTGCAAGAGGCAGCTGATTGATGATTCTCTCTCATCAATGTTTCTAACTCTATCCCTCTCTCTTCCTCTCTGTAAAAAATTAATAAAATATATTTTTTTAAAAATCTTGTGGACTCCTCGCTTCTCCCTGTGGACATATACACCATACACTTCTACATTTCATTTCTGTCCTTTGTATTTTTTACAGAACTCGAGGCAAATGCTGCCGTAGTCTCTGGACAAAGGTAAGATGATCATTTTTGCAAACTTAGCATCAATATGGCATAAACCTTTTTGCAGGGTATCTGCTTTCTTACCTTGAAACCCCTTCTAACGTAGGGAGCTGTCATGAGTCTTAACCTTTCAGAGGTGACATTTTTTAAAATAAAACTTGGTGGCTAAATATCTTTTTTGATTGTTTTGAAAACTATCAAACTATCGGGTCTAGTAATAATTAATGTCGTTTTAACATTCGTTTAAAATCTTGCTTGGCGTTGACTTGTATTGACATAACCTTCAAACACGTGGTATCTACAGAACGTGTAAAGTGCAATTAACAAGTTTTGCTTGAAAAAGTTTGTGTTTGGTTTGGTTTTTGTTGCAAAACTAGAGCTAAGAAGATGGCGGATGAAGAGCATATTCGGCACTGCATGCTTTACGAGTTCCAATTAGGAAGAAAAGCAAGTGAGGTTGCAAAAAACATCTGTAGTGCTCTTGGTCAAGATGCAGTTAGCGCCAGAAAATGCCAGCGTTGGTTTGAGAAATTTCGCGAGGGAAATTTTTCGTTAGATGACAAGAGTTGTTGAGGCCGTGTGTCCAATTTTGATCAAGAAGCTCTTTCAAGCTCTTTTGTGCAAAATCCTCAAATTACCCAACAAGAGCTTGCGACAACTTTAAATTGTTCACAAAAAACAATTTCCAATTAATTGCGTGCACTTGGCAAAGTCCAAAAGTTTGGAAAATGGGTTCCTCATGAGTTGACCGACAACAACCGTAATCAAAGAGTCACAATTTGCAGTTCGTTCCTCTCTCGTCAAAACCGTTTGCCGTTTTTAGAGCAAATTGTTACCGGAGATGAAAAATGGGTGCTGTATGTTAATTTGAAAAGGCGGCCTCAATGGTTGGACAAAAATGAGGCTCCTCAGCCCACGCCAAAACCTGACTTGCATGCGAAAAAAGTGATGTTGTGTGTTTGGTGGAATTTTAAAGGAATTCTTCATTATGAACTTTTACCATCTAACCAAACCATTACAAGTGTAGTGTATAGTGCCCAATTGGGAAGGTTAGCCCAAGCTTTAAGAGAAAAAGAACCCGCGCTGATTAATCGGAAGGGCGTAATTCTTCACCACGATAACGCACGACCGCATACTGCAAGAATCACTGCTGAAAAACTGCGCCAGTTGGAATGGGAAGTTCTCCCTCAACCTGCATATTCTCCTGATATTGCCCCTTCCGATTACCATTTGTTTCGTTCTTTGCAAAACTTTCTTCTTGGAAAAAAATTTAATAATGAAGAATGCCTCAAAAATGCATTGACCGAATTTTTTGCATCAAAATCACAAGAATTTTACAACAGAGGGATTAAAATGCTTCCTGAGCGTTGGGCACAAGTAGTAGAAAACAACGGCAACTATATTGTTGATTAAATTTTGTTTAAATAAATTTTGTTTAAATAAATATTGTTTAAATAAATTCGATTTAAAAAAGGTATTAGAAAACGACATTAATTATTACTAGACCTAATATGTTCAGCAATCAGCATAGGAGTAAATAGTAAATGTCCAGTATATAGGAGCTGTTGCTATGGTAGTCATTAATAATAGTCCTTGCAACATCTTCTGAAGTATAGCTGTTTAATCCTCAAGTCAGAAGAGAAAGCCCGGCATGGTCTGACCCCAAAACTCATGCTTTTTCTATGCTGTCTCACATAAACCAACAAAGTGAAATACAACTGTGGCTTCCACCTCATTAGCCCCATGAAGAAGAGTATTGTCGTTTTCACAAAGCCATTCCTTTTCAGTGTAGAAATGCACTAGATAACATTTTAAACAATTTCTCATATTTGTACATCAACTTAGTTTGTAAAACACATTCATAACCATTCTGTCATTTAATCCTCATATTGACCCTGTGCAGTGGTAATAATAGCCAATATTTGTTTGAACATTATTCTATGCCATGCACTGGACTATAAGCTTCCTAGATGTATTACCTCATATGATTTTCACAGTATCTATTGGGAAAGTAAATTCTCTTTTACAGATAAGGAATATGGATCATAGAGGTTAGCTAATTTACCCAAGGTAACAGATTTTAGTAAATGTGAAGCTGAGATTCAAACCCAGGCATCATGACTCCAGAGCCCTCACATTGCACTAACGTATTGTGAATGAGATGTATAGATCAAGAATCTGAAGCTTAGAATTACAAATCATGTCCAACAAATGCATAGTAAGACTTAACCCCTGTTATTCTGGCTCCAAAATCATTGCTATTTCTACTGTGCCTGTCTAGGCTTTTTGTTTTTGTATTGGGCTGATAATTGAATTTATTTACTTTTCTCAAGCCTACACCAATTATGTGGCTAGAGAAAGAAGATAATCAGACCAAAAAATACCCTTTGGGTATTTGTTTCTAGAGCTATCTGAACTTTAATCATCTAAACACTAGGGCAGTATTGCTGTGGCTTTCGTTTTGACAGAGAAAGAGGCGCCTGCATTAGAAATCTTTCTTCCTCAGAGGCTTTGACCATCTTCTGGGCTCCCCACCAGAAAGCCATCTTCACCACTTCTAAAAGGATGTGTAAATCTCTCTGACCTGTAATTCCACCCCAGCTTCAGCCTTCAGCCTCACCTCTCCTTGACTTACGTTGGCTTCTGGGGCAATCATTACATATAAAACTAAGATAATGAACAATATGGCTAAATTCCCAGCCATAGTGCCACTAGCAAAGGGTCAGCTGACAAGAGTGAACAGATCAGAAAATTACCAGTAAACCAGTATTCCTGTGACTCTAATATTTATTGTGTATAGTGTTTTTATACAGGTGTCTCCCAAAAATGTATATACATTTTAACAGCTGATAGATCAGTTTTAATAAAAATGATATGTATTTTTAATAAACACTGCTTTTATAGTCCTAGCTAGTTTGCCTCAGTGGATAGAGCACTGGCCTGTGGACAAAGGGTCCTGGGTTCAAATTCTGGTCAAGGGCATGTACCTTGGTCGCAGGCTCCTCAGGCCCTGGCACCAATCAGTGTGCTTCTCTCACATTGATGTTTCTCTCTGTCCCTCTCCCTCCACTCTCCCTAAAAATCAATGGAAAAATATCCTTGGGTGAGGATTAACAACAACAACAAATACACAAATAAACCCAGCCTTTATAATTATTCAAAGTGTGTATACAATTTTTGGGATATCCTATATAAATGCTATTCATTGTACACAACACACACACACACACATATATCTCACACATATCCATTCAATATTTATTATGAAAATGGGATTATACTATACATAATGTTGGTAGCATTTTTCCTCACTATGATATCAATATCATGAACAGTTGTGTTTTTATTGTTGACACTATTATAGATGGCCTCCATTTTCTCCCACTTGCCCCTTTCTGCCTGTCCCCTACCCCAGCTTTCACCACATTGTGTCCAAGGGCTATGCATACATGCATATATATTTTCTTTCATACTCTTATGTCCCCATGACTATTCTGTAACTACCAATTAGTATTCTAAATCCCTTCACCTTTTTTAACCATCCCTCCAGCTTTCTTCCCATCTCATTTATTGCCATTTTATTATTCATACTAGGAGCCCATTGCATCTTGAAAGGAACTGTGGGCCACAAGGCTGCACTGGGCACAGGGACAGGTCTTGTGCCCCTGTCCAGCCCCTCCTGCCATGGACCCTTGTCCCCTGTCTGCCGGCAGCTCTAATCCCACTCTGGCACTGCCCAGCTCACACCTGCTGACAGCGTGGAGCGATTGGGGCTGGCACCAGCAGGAGGTGCAAGCAGGACCAGTGCCATCAGTGGATGTGAGCAGCAGCTGCTGCCATGATCACCCCTCAGGAGCAGGGGAAGGTGGAGAAACCCTGAGGGGCAATCAGAGCCAGTACTGGGCACTGGCAGTGGGTGCAAGCAGTGGCTCAGGCTCTAGCAGTAGATGTGGGTGGGGCTGGTGCCAGCAACAGGTGCAAGTGCCAAGCAGGACCACAGTGCACAGGAGCATAGAATTTTCGGTAACCCTCAGAGGCTCACCCCAATGACAGTGATTGGCGACCCGCCTTAGTCTGACACCTGCACTCACCTGCTCCACCATCTTGCCACAGCCAACACCTGTCATGTTCCATGCTCTGCTACCTGCTGCAGATGCCAGCCATGTTCTGCACATGTCCCCTGGTGGTCAGCGCACGTCATAGTGAATAGATGTTCAATTGTTTAACTGTTTGGTCTATTTGCATATTAGGGTTTTATATAGATAGATTTTTTTATCCTTTTTTAATTTTTTTATTATTTTTAAAATATATTTTATTGATTTTTTACAGAGAGGAAGAGAGAGGGATAGAGAGTTAGAAACGTCGATGAGAGAGAATCATCGATCAGCTGCCACTTGCACACTCCCTACTGGGGATGTGCTTGCAACCAAGGTACATGCCCTTGACCGGAATCGAACCTGGGACTTTTCAGTCCATAGGCTGACGCTCTAGCCACTGAGCTAAACCGGTTTCGACTATCCTTTTTTTTAAATTCTATATATATATATATATATATATATATATATATATAAAAGCACTGGGAACTGCTTGGATGGGCCAGGTTGTGTGGGGGCAGAATCTCAGGGAATCACCAGGGAGGAAGGAGAGGTGGGACAGTATAAATCAGATTGATGATGTCTCAGATATGGTGCCTGCCTATCAGTTCAGTCTTGATGTGGTTTCTTTATTTTTTATTCTTTATTTTTGTTTCAGAGAGGGAGAGAAAGATAGAAGCATGAATAATGAGAGAGAATTATTGATCAGCTTCCTCCTGCAAGCCCCCAACTGGGGATTGAACCCGCCACCCAGACATGTTCCCTTGACCAGAATCAGACCCAGGACCCATCACTCCATAGGCTGATGCTCTAGTCACTGAGCTAACTGGATAGGACTCAGTGTGGCTTCTTTAAATTCTTAGTTGTAGGACTTAAATTCATTAAGATTTAAGGTGGTTCTGAATGATGGTTGTTCTGTAATTTGGTTGTATTTTTTTATGTGCTTCTGGGAGGATTCCAGTACCACATTTACCTACACCATCTTCTTGATCAGAAGTCTCATGAACAGTTTTTATCATTAGCCTTTACAACATAATTTTCATGACTGCATATAATGTACCATGATTTAATTAACTGATCTATAGTTAAGCATTTATGTCCTCTGTTTTCATTAATATGAATAAAATACTTTGACAATCTGGTGTGGAATTAGAGCTCTGTAAAAGCATTTGTTTCCTTAGGAATCTAGGAATGGAATTGCAGTGCCAGAGGATTACACTAGGGTTTTTCAGCCTCAGCATTACTGACAGTTTAGATCAGATAATTATTGGGAGTGGGGGCCTGTCTCATGCATTATAGGATGTTTAGTAGCATCCTGGTAGGTGCCACTTAAAGATGTTAATAGCATTCATCTCCCTCCCACCCCAAAATAACAATAAAAAAATGTCTACCAACATTGCTAAGTGTCCCCAAGGAGGCAAAACTACCCCCTATTGAAAACCATTGTGATACTCAGTTTACACTCCATCAGGAGTTTCTGTACCTATACCCTCAGCAATACTGGATATTACCAACTTAAAATCTTCATATACTAAAAAGGGGGATTAAAATAGGGACAATCGCCGAAACCGGTTTGGCTCAATGGTAGAGCGTCGGTCTGCGGACTAAAAGGTCCTGGGTTCGATTCTGGTCAAGGGCATGTACGTTGGTTGTGGGCACATCCCCGGTGGGGGGTGTGCAGGAGGCAGCTGGTCAATGTTTCTCATCGACGTTTCTAGCTCTCTCTCTCCCTTCCTCTCTGTAAAAAAATCAATAAAATATATATTTTTTTTAAAAATAGGGACAATCGATATATCCATCAGTGTAGCCGGGACCAGTTTGGCTCAGTGGGTAGTGCCACTGTGGACTGAAAGGTCCCTGGTTCGATTCCAGACAAGGGCATGTACCTTGGTTGTGGGCACATCCTCAGTAGGGGGTGTGCAAGAGGCAGCTGATTGATGATTCTCTCTCATCGATGTTTCTAGCTCGCTATCCCTCTCTCTTCCTCTCTGTGAAAAATCAATAAAACATATATTTTTTAAAATATTAAAAAAAAAAAAATATATATATATATATATATATATATCATCAGAGTATTGTGAATATATTCCCATGTATATTCATTCTTCTGTAATATGACTTGTAATAAGTTATTATCTGACTACACCAGGCTCATAGTAAATGCCAGCATATGTTAGTAATTTCTAGACTTTAGGTACTCTTAACTTTTGAAGGGGAATAATATTATCTTAAGAAAATGGGTGAGGAAGTTGCATGATTTTTGTGTGAAGTTCCATGTCTTCTACCTGTTTTACACAGTTTCACTAGCATTATGCTTTAATCCTTTATTTTTACTAATGTAATGCATTAGTTTCGCTTTTAAATTGTCAGTAATTATAGAAGGTAATTGTGCTCATTGTCCCAGGATTCTCTCCAGAATGACTATATAGTTCTCCTGCCTTATGAATGAAACTCTTATCTGAAGAACCCGTTTTTGTGTGACTTGATTCCCTCACCTCCTTGGAAACTTTGTGCTTCCGTCTGTCAGCAGTGATTCCAAAGACATAATTGAAAAGTCCAAAACCCCAAGCCGGAGAAATTCCCGAACTGAAGAACCAACTGTGGCTTCTGAAAGTGTGGAAAACGGACATCGGAAGCGATCCTCTCGGCCTGCTTCAGCTTCCAGCTCTACTAAAGGTTAGCGGGGGAGTGGGTACTATTTGTAGGTCAAATAGGAGAATGGGATCCTTATCACAGCTGCAGAGGCCTTTTTGCTTCATCTTTGCATCCATTTTTCAAACTTGTCAAGTTACTTTGACTTCTGTTTGGTCCTTTGTTAGTTCATTTAACTATGTGTTTTTTGTGTGCCTACATAAGAACAGCAACCACTGTTAGAAAAAAAGAACATAACAGGCAGATTGATTCATTATCACCACTTCAGATATGTCCTCAATAAAATGGCCCAGCCATCTTTCTATGTTTCTGTAATCAATTCTCTTTTCCCCCTCCCTACTGTTTTTAAACCTACAACCCTTACTTCCTCCTCTTCTCAGCAGACCCTCACCATTTCCTAGAGAAAATAGAATCCCTCTACTCTCACTACCAAGACATAAATCTACCAATGTCCTCCTTTGCTCCTATTATAATAGAGTAGCTGTCCCTCCTCAAGTTGAAGGCCAGTGCCTTTGATCCCACCTTCTCTGATCTTCTTAAGACCATTACACTACCAGTTTTCTCTTCTCTGTTGACTGTTACCTTCTTTTTTAAAACTCTGCCCTTGGCTTTTATGACCCAGAACTCCCAATAGTTTTCTGACTACTCTGACTGCTTCTTTTCAATCTCTGTACCCAGACATTACATGTTGGCCTTCCTCAAACTTCAATCCTAAGTTGTCTTTTTTCTTCAACTTGTATTTTCTCCCTAACTTACCTCATTCATGCCTCCATTCTTCAGTTAGAATCGTTCATAGACTACTCATGAATTGATTTTTAGTACAGACCTCTAGAGATTTTATTTTATTTATTTATTTTTTAAATATATATTTTATTGATTTTATACAGAGAGGAAGGGAGAGAGATAGAGAGCTAGAAACGTCGATGAGAGAGAGTCATCGATCAGCTGCCTCTTGCACACCCCCTACTGGGGATATGCCCGCAACCAAGGTACATGCCCTTGACCGGAATCGAACCCGGGACCCTGCAGTCCCCAAGCCGACGCTCTATCCATTGAGCCAAACCGGTCCCGGCAAGACCTCTAGAGATTTTAGATAACTGCGTGTATATCCTTAACAGGACCTCAAATTCAACATGTCTGAAAACAGACATGATTTTCACCCCAGTGTCAAGTGCTCTGCCATTGTTCCCCACCTCAGTGATTGGGACCACCATCTTTATTAGGCAAGTCCTCCTTGGCACCTCTCTCCCTCACTCTCATGTCCATCACAAAAAGCTGCTGATTTTGTTAGGTGGCCCAAATTCATCCACTTTATCCATCTTTATTGCTATCCAGCTTAAACTCCTTCAATGATTTACCATTACCATTCATTACCATTAGAATTAAAGTCTAAAGTGTCAACATGGCCCTGGCTGGTGTAGCTCAATTGTTGAGTGTAATCCCAAGAAGAGATGGAAAGTTGGAACCAGTTTTAGAAAAGGGGTGGGTAATAGGCTTGTATATTATACTTAAACTGGGCATTATTCCAAAGTGATGATAATCATGTTGGAATACCTGCCCCATACATGTTTTGAAGTTTAGCAAATAGTTTAGGAGAGGCTATAATGACTGTGGTCTTCAGAGGAGTGCTTAGTATCTCTCTAGAGGATGGCAGAGCTCTGGCCAGAACCCAAGAATCACCAGCTGGTCAATAATATATATTAATAATTATATATATTATTAATAACATAATACACACACACACACTTGCGGCCTGGTGCATGAAATTCGTGCATGGGGGCAGGAGGGTACCCCTTAACCCAGCTTGTACTCTCTCCAATCTGGGACCCCTCAAGGGATGTCCAACTGCCCATTTAGGCTCAATCCTGGTGGGATCAAGCCTAAACAGGCAGTCGGATATTCCTCTCACAATCCAGGATTGCTGGCTCCCAACTGCTCACCTGCCTGCCTTTCTGATTTCCCCTAACCACTTCTGCCTGCCAGCCTGATCACCCTAACCACTCCCATACCAGCCTGATTGATGTCTAACTGCTCCCCTGTCGACCTGTTTGCTCCCAACTTCCCTCCTCTGCCAGCCTGGTCACTCCTAACTGCCCTCCCTGCAGGGTTGATCACCTCCAACTGCCCTCCCTTGCAGGCCTGGTCCCTACCAACTGCCCTCCCCTGCTTGTGGTGGCCCTCTTGTATCCACATGGGGGAAGGATCTTGGACCACATGGGGGCAGCTATCTTGTGTGTTGGAATGATGGTCAATCTGCATATTACTCTTTTATTAGATAGGATAGAGGCCTGGTGCATAATATTTTATTAGATTCGAGAGGGTGCAAGCTGGGCTGAGGGACACACACACACACACCCGTGCACAAATTTCGTGCACCAGGCCTCTAGTATGTATGTGTGTGTGTGTGTGTGTGTGTGTGTGTGTATAATTATACTATTAATAATATATAATATATATAGTATATATATATAATAAATGTGTGTTAATTATATGTAATATATAATTAATATATATATTAATTATTTGGCCAGCCATGTTGTATCCAGATGTGAACCAAAGCCATAAGATAGCTTTTCTGTGATTGTATTTGAATGCATAACCATGGAGTGATCATAAAATATCAAGCTGGTTTTAAAAGTTATGGTTCTCAAACTTGGAAATGTATAGTACTGGGGACCTGAAACATCTTCCTACAGCATCAGTTCTTAAAGTTTTGAAGAGAAAAAGCATTTTTGCCTTTTTGTACTCATAAGATTTTGGTCAGATATGCAGAAACAAAATCAGAAATAGTGGTCTTTCACAAGAATCTTGAAAACTAAGAAGTATTATAAGCAGTTTGTAATGAAAAGTATTGGTACTTTTGAATTATTGAGGATACGGTAGCATAAATCATGTTCTTGCTGTGAGAAAAGTTTACTCATATCATGTTGGTTAAGGCCTACCGTGTTTCCCTGAAAATAAAATATCCTCCAAAAATAAGACCTAATTACAGGTTTCCCTCTGAGTGAAATATAAGGCATCCCCCCGTAAATAAGGCCCCCTAGGCTCTGTCTTAGAATGAAAATTATTTTACTGTAAACTGGTTGCTAGGCACGCCCCGAATGGGGTCTAACAACCAGTGACGTTACGAAGAGTCCTGACGTCACTGCTGTGTGGAGGCGGAGCGGAGGTCGAAGTGAGAGGTTAGTGTGGAGTGGGAGAGAGGAGGAGACTTTCGAAGATGCGTGCAGAAGAACAGGAGGATTAGAGCAGATGGGACGCGGCGAAGGTGACGAGTGCTGGTCTGTCTTTGGTGACACTACCTGATGCTCACGGCCGCCCTCATGATGACTGAAGGTTCTCAGTCAGTAGCAGACCCCGCTCCAGCCCAGATCCAGGCCCCAGCAAGCCCAGTGACAGTCCCCAGGCAGGCCCCAGGGGGTAAATGTCTGATAAAGGGGTAGAAGGGATGTCTGGTGAAGGTGTTCAGTGGCACAGGGATGGGGGGAGGGAAATCACTTAAAATATAGGAGGATCAGAGTGGACAATCAAAATGACACAGGAGGATCAAAAGAGGTTACTAAAATGGTAATCCCCCCTCTGATTCTCCTGTGCCATTTTGATTTCCCCCTCGGATCCCCCTTGTATCATTTTAAGTGATTCCCCTCCCCCCACCTTGATAGCCCAATTCCTTTTTTTACCCCTAGAAATGAGCACAAAAAGAAAAAGCTACTCCATGGAGTATAAGAAAGGAATCGTGGAAGTCTCTTGGGGCCAAAATCTTACTGCTTTCTGCAAAGAGATGATGTTGAGTATCCGATTGGTCCGAAAATGGCGAGCAGAGTATGGTAACCTCATTGAACAAGTGGACAAGGGAAATGCTAAAAAGCACAAGTGTGGATCAGGTCGGCAACCATTATTTTCCAAGCTGGAAGACCTGATCTGTGAATGGGTTGTTGACAGGAGAGTAAAGCTTTTGGTTGTGAACAGGGCTCAGATTCAAGAATTTGCCCTCGCAATGGCACCACAGTTTGACATAGCCCCCGAAGACTTCAAAGCATCACAACACTGGCTGGATAATTTCCTTCAGCGAAGTGAACTGTCTTTAAGAAGATCTACAACATTGTTTAGGTTGGAAGATACTCAAGTTATTAAGCGAGCACTTGCATTCAAGTCCTTTATGATGATGCTGACTTCTCTAAATACAATCTTTCCAACATGATTGCTATGGATGAAACTGCAGTTTTTATGGGCCAATCATCTCAAACAACAATTGAACAGCAGGGTGCCTCCTTAGTGTACATTCCCTCCACTGCTTATGAAAGTGCATGTGTTTCCTATATTTTGGCAATTCGTCTGGATGGCACTAAAATCCCACCTTTAATCATTTCTAAGGGCAAGAAGGAAAAGATTGAACGTGTTTTGGGCATTTTTATTCTTGAAACTGAAAAAGCCTGGGCCACACAAGCAGTTATAAGGAAGTGGGTCGATTTAATGCTGCCACTTGTTATGCAAGGGAGCTAAAGAGGTCTGCTAGTCTGGGATGCAGCCAGCACTTACCGAGCTAAAGACATGAAGACATTTCTTCACGAAAGAAAAATAGATCAGATAATGATTCCCGCAGGAATGACAGCCTATCTCCAAACTCTTGATATTGCAATAAAGAAGCCATTCGAAGACAATTTGCACATGGAAATTAATGACTACGTTGAAAATAGAATGGAGAGAAATCAGTGTGGAAATTTTGTGAAACCTAAACTGTAAGAAGTTGTGACTTGGGTGAAGAATTCATGGGAGAAAATCACTGACAGTTGCATTGCAAATGCACTGTGAGCAGGCTACCTTGACAAGAAGTACTCATTTAAAGACAGTGCTATTGCTAAACATGAGAGATTTGGTCCACTGATTCTGAAAGAAATGGAGTCACAAGAAATTTACCAGGAAATTCAAGAATTGGATTGTTATAATGATATTTCAGAAGATGATGACATGATTGTCATTGAATAAATGAATAAATTCTTGATACTGTAGGATTCACAGTTTGTCTGGTTTGTGTTGACAACTACCGTACTACCGTAAATAAATTTCCTTTATTTTCATTTAACAATAAATGTGTACCGTATTCTTCTTCATGGAAAAATAAGACATCCCCTGAAAATAAGACCTAGCGCATCTTTGAGGGCAAAAATTAATATAAGACACTGTCTTATTTTTGGGGAAACAAGGTACTAGACTGCCAGCTTGGAGCTGGTGGGATGGATGATTTCTGGGCAAGTTCAGAGAGGCCCACATGGTTGATAAGTTATGCTCTAATCTGTTGTTTTTAGATGGTTGGATTTCCCACACACACACTTTTTTTTTTTAATTAATTTATTTATTTATTTTACATATTTTATTGATTTTTTTTTTGCCCCCCTCCTTCCCTCCCACGTATCCCCTCCCTCCCCAGAGTTTTATGTCCATTGGTTGTACTTATATGCATGTATACAAGTCCTTGGGTTGATTTATTGTCTCCCCCAGACCCTCCTCCTCTCCCCGTTGTAATTTGACAATCTGCTTGTTGCTTTACTGTCTCTATATCTATCTTTTGGTTCATCAGTTTATAATGATCTTTATTATCCACAAATGAGTGAGGTCATGTGGTGTTTCTCTTTCATTGACTGGCTTATTTCACTCAGCATGATGTTCTCCAATTCCATCCAGGTTGCTGCAAATGATGAGAATTCCTTCTTTTTATGGCAGCATAGTATTCCATTGCCCACACACACACTTTTAATTACAAACACAGCAATTGGCTCCCACAAATCAGTGAACTATTTAAAATTGGACTTGATCAGAAGTGTTGTTTATAAATATGCAAATGAGTAGTTCTACTCCTGGCATAAGGAGTTCCCCATTAACACAGAAATTATTCTTTTTCCCTTATCATTCTTTATTTACTCTTCTGTGTATAATTTTGTGTTATATCTTCAAGCAGGGAAAAGGATCAGAAGTTAAAAACGTGAGGTTCAATGCATAAGTTAGAAACCAAGGAAAATAAGCTAATATTAGGGAAATTCATAGCACTTGTAGTCATCAGCAGCTGTTGGTGTCCCTGTGGGGCCCTGAGATATCTAAGACAGCAAAGTGGGATGAAAATCCTACCATACCCACAGCCCGTGACTTTAGAAGCAACAATCTAAAAACATAGAATGGCCTGCTCAGCATGGCTCAGTGGTTGAGCGTCAGAAGGTCATAGTTCGATTCCAATCAGTGCACATGACCAGGTTGTGGGCTCAATCCCTGGTGTTGGGCGTGCATGAGGCAGCTGATCAATGATTCTTCCTCCTCATCGATGTTTCTATGTCTCTCTCTCTCTCTTTCCTTTCCTCCCTGAAATAAAAAAGATATATATAACAATAAAAACATAATGTGTACAGATATTCTTAAAACAGAAGTGCTGTTGTGGAAATACAAATGAACAAACATAATTAGATATATCTTATGGGAGAAAAACCCTGAACAATAACTGTCTGAAGCTGCATTCTTATTGAATCATTTAGAAACCAGACATGCAAATTTTGAAAGGAAATGTTCAGAATTTTTTTTACAATTAAGTAGAAATCTTGGCTAGAAGTAGTACAGTAAAAAGACCAATGAAGTGAACGAAGTCAAGTTCAGTTTCTAAAATTCCTCGAAAGTAAAGCAAAGCCCACCTACTAGAAGATTTAATAGAATCTTGTACTGTAGATTTGGCCAAGTTTGCTTAATGTCAAAATGAGACAACCAGGTTGAAAAAAATGCCCATATCAAATTACCAATTTAAATGGACAACTTCCTAAAAGACCGTTATTAACCCAATTTTGGGTGGGGTTTTTTTTGTTGTTGTTTTACCATATAGGTAGTTCTAAAATATGAATATATGAATGCTGTAACTCCACTATTAATTTTTTCTCTATTTGTATATCTATCTTTACATTAATTTGTAAACTCCTTAGTGGTTTAAAAAGCAATTTTTTCGACAATATATGTGATGGTTTGGGTTTTTTTTGTCATTATGATATTGAAGGGAGGATGGGTTTTGGGATTGGGATTATGCTCAATCAGATAAACTAGGCAACCTTTAGGAACATGCTTGATGCACATGAAGTTACCTAAAATTCCTTACCTTAAAGGGTTTGCCTCTAGATTCTCTTATTATACTCAATAGAGTAGTAAAAATTGTAACATTTTGTTGAGAGTATAAAATTGAATCACAAAATAAAAACTCATCTTTAAGACAGATTTATAAACACATTAAAAATGAATTTGTTCTGTGACCCAGATTGGCTAGATTTATCCAGGGAAGGTGATAAGAGACTTCAGAATCAAGTCGATATGTTTTTTTCCTCATGGTATCTTTTAGATACCATCCTCTACCTGTATCTAAAAGATTACTTTTTTTTGTTTCTAGCATAAATCAGTTGTTTACTCACGGTCCCACTCATTGATTCATCCTCAGGAGCAGAGGCAGCCTGCCAGATTGTTGGGTTCTTTGGAGCAGTAACAGATGGAAGGAGACGGGGAGGAAAAGCCTGAGGTTGCTTACCCAGGTCCCCCTCCCTACACTCTCTTAGCCTCTTTTCCCAGCCACATATGTGTTTTTCAGACACACCACTTGATCCTTCATATCACAACAAAAGAAAAGCTTCCAAAGTTGACATGATTAATATTTTCCTAAGGATGAATATTCCATCAAGACAAAACTGTGTATTTTTACTGCAAATGACCAGCTTGCTACTGTGGCAATGAAGCTTAAATGTTGAAAGTAAAATAATTGATTAAGGGGAATTTTGGTTGTGTGAGACTCTAAATTACATGCGATTAAAATGAATACCATTATCAGCATTCTGTCAGATTAACTGTCCTCTGATTAGCAAAAGACTAATGAGAAATCAGAGAGACTGATTCTACCCCATAGCACAAGCAACATGACCTTCCAGCAAAAAAGGAAAGAAAAGAAAAAAAAAAAGAAAATATATATATATATATATATATATATATATATATATATATATATATATTCAATTTCAATATGTGACATATTGAAATTTCCAAAAACATTTCATAGGTCGCCTCTTGGAAAGTCACTTCTTAGCATTAATACTACTTTTTTACATCTACCTTTTGAATCTGTGTTCTCAAAATATTATGATACAAAAGAGGAGAAAAATTGCTTAGAACACCAAATCTAAAATGCAGCATCCAAAAATTCAGCCTAGTTTTCAGAAATAGATAAATATGATTCATTTCACACATTAATGAGTTAGAAAATTATTTTCTCCTTGATAGGAAATAATTTTAAAATACTGTTTTTATATTAAAACCAAAATATGTAGCAGCATGAAGAATGAGGGTGAATTTTTAAGATCAATATGAGATTTTAAATGTTTACATTTGGAGAATTTCAAACTATTCATTGTACTCTGTTCTAAGAAACTTGGTGGGAAAGTTTTTCAGAAACATAATTTAAATATGAGATAAAATTGAATTGATTGATGTAAGACACTATGATAATACAAAAGGAATTATGTCACTATTACCCTGTGTGTAAATCACTCAGTTTTTGCACCTCTTCCTTGAAGTCCTTAGGCTCACCGGGGCTCACAGAATAGGCAATGGATTGCTCTGAATTGCTTATATGCTTATATGCTTATATATGCCTTATATCCACAACCATGATAATATACCTGGCTAGACACTTGTTGACCAAGGGTCATGGCCATGTTATTTAGAAGCTTTGGCTATAAGCATGGCAAAATAAGTTCATTACTGCAAAACAATGGCTAGGCTCCAAAAGGATCCAGAGACTTGTTTTGCACTGAGGTACAATTGATTCACTTGGGTGTGTTGCATTATTCATTGATTTCTCATCAAAAGCACTGTCAATTCTATCCATCATTTCTTTGGGTGATGGGATTTGGTGATGGAGATTGTGGGGTTAATTTCCTGGCTAAAGAAGCTTTCCCCTTCCTGCCACTTTTTTCAACCAAGCATATGTGCTTCATTTCCCACCACCTGTATCATTTTCTCAGTTGCCAGGTTCTAGTACACAGAAGCCAGAAACCCTCTTCACTCTGAGTGCCCCTTCTTAGGCCCTTAGACCAGTGGTCGGCAAACTCATTAGTCAACAGAGCCAAATATCCAGTACAACGATTGAAATTTTTTTTGAAAGCCAAATTTTTTTAACTTAAACTTCTTCTAGCGCCACTTCTTCAAAATAGGCTCGCCCAGGCCATGGTATTTTGTGGAAGAGCCACACTCAAGGGGCCAAAGAGCTACACGTGCTCGCTAGCCGCAGTTTGCTGACCACAGCCTTAGACTGATTCAGAGCCAATAGGGCTCCAAGTAGGTTAATCTGTGTTCTTGTGGACTGCCTAAGAGGCACTGCTATAATAAGTTGCCTAGCTGAACATGTCCTTCCTTTCCCCCACAGACATAACCAGTGCGGTGCAATCCAAGCGAAGAAAATCCAAGTAAACAAGCTGGACAGCGACTTGATACTTGTAAATGTGTATGAATTTTACAAAAAGCAGTTTTGAGCTGTGACTTTTTAAAATCACTTTCTGTACAGCTAGTCATTTTAATAATGTGGCCCTTTTCCTAGTCCCTGCAACCTGTTTCATAAAGTGCAACGAGAAAAGCAGATTTGTTGAACCCTTTTGATGTTGATGAAGTTCAAGGTTTCTAAAATGTTGCCATGTATTGAGAGGAGCTAATGTGATTATGTTATTAGTTTTCACATTTCCTAAGCAGCCTAGCGGACAGGTGAGCATTTTTAGGTCCTAATGATGTATTGTGCTGTGGAAGTACTGTGTGAGTAGCAGTAGTGGGGACAAAAGGAATCTTCTCATTTGGAAATGTTGTAAATAATTTTATTAAATAGTGTTTTGGATGTATTTGTTGTAGAAATGGACCAGTGAATAAAGAGAATCTAAGGATTTGTACAATGTGAAATATTGAATGTGTTAAATAAATGTAATTGTCTTAGAACATAAATGTATGTTATTGATAGGGGGTAACTTGGTGAGCAAGTGCTTTTTTTTGAATCATAAATGAATAGGAACAGCCTTCTTTGTGAATTAGAATCCCATCTTGTCCTGATTGCACCTGAGGAAAATGCAGTCTTGTTCACTCAACTCATTCTTGGCTTTAAAGAAACTAGCCCTTTACAACACTGTCCCGCACACTTTATATGTTGGTCAAACCTCTTTTTATTGCAAATAACGACCAATTTAGAGAGGATCAAAGGCCACCCAGTATTTTCTAGAGACTGGAAGTCATCAGCAACCCAGATAGCACTTTTTTTCTCCACTTCATACAACTGCTTCTCTGGGCACATGATGGATTCCTCCCAAACAGCTATGTTTATACCTCCTCCATTCAAGATAAACCCAGCCTGACCAGCAAGAATCTTTTTAACAGCATCAAGAATCTAGCCCAGTTTAGGTCAGCTTTCCACCTTCATTCCAGTTCTGTGATTAGATGGGCAGTCCCCAGATAAAAGCAGTCATTTTATGTTATGTTCTTCAGAGATGCCCATTACATTCCACTCTTCGGCTGCCCTCGAACTCATCTGCACCAGGCTTAGTGGTGATTTATCAACATCCCCAGGTTTTTCCCTTCCCTGGCTTAATTTTTACCTAAGCACTTATATTTACAAACCAGCTGCTTCTGCTCCCACCCTACTCGCTACCCACCTTCAGAAGACTCAATGCTTGGGGCCCTGTCCTTGTCTTGGTCTGGGTCTCAGCCTTCTGCTGTGTCTCCTAAAAGCTAAACATACTCCATCCTTTCCCCTGCAGTAGCTCCTTGCCATTGCCATAACTCAGTGCCTGAGATAAAAAGGATGAGTTGGTGATTCTCTGTCGTGCTCTTAGTCTCATCTCTATTTCAACTGTCTTATTATATATGTCTTACATTATAAGGATCCTCTAAAAGTAATTATTTATGAGTCAGACCCCATGCTGTCTGACTCTGTTCCCAGCAAGCTTATCTACCCTCTTCCTTCTCTTATGACATTCACGAGAACCAAAGCCAGCCTAATAATACCCTGTCAGTACTGTGCTTGAGATTACAAAGTGCTTCTCAGACTTTACTTCTATTCAGACAGAAAGTATAATGTGCTTTAAATAGATTTTTATTTGTTTTTCTTTATATTTTTCTCTCCCATAGAGGAATAACATTACAATCTAACAATCAGAATTCTGTTACACACATACACAGGCATGCCACATGACCGTGTTGAGGTGGTTATGTCCTTGAGTCTGTTGAAATGTCACAACATGGTCAAACAGAGTCTCCTCGTTTCAGCCAGTCTCAACACAAAACACCCAAGAGGGATGCACTCTACTTGGTTCCATTTGGAACTAGGTGGCAGGACAAGTGGGAAGATATAGGGGGTATAGTGTGTCTGCATTCGGTCCCCACATAAAGCCACATGGATCTGAGGAGGCCTCCAAGAGCTCTGGTGGGGTCCTTATTGCACCTAAGATATTAGGGGTTAGAGCAAATTGATCAGGGTACCGGCAGGAGTTGGGAGCAGGCATACTTCCAAACAGCAGCAAACTGCATTCATACACATGTGACACCCTGCTGGGGCCAGACTGGCAAAGGCTGGAAAGTGACACCCAGCTTGAAGAGAGCACTCAGACATATTGGGGAGTCACTGCAAGTCACCCTTTGATGTAACTGGGACTCACTCTGGAAAAACAGGTCCCTCTGACAAACTCAGTTTTGGCAAAGTGCTGGTAGTATTGACATGAATTAATACAAACTGGAACAAACTTCTCCAGGGTTCTCTGAAAATATCAGTCAAGACAGACTCTCTAGCCCCCCACCTGTCTTAAGGTTGCATAGGACTTTGTGAATTCTGGTTCCCTCATATATTCAAGTTCTGTGATTTAAAAAAAAGTCCTGAAGCATGCTCAAGGTGAAAGGCACATACACAGTCAATACAGTATGATGCTTCAGGAGTTAGACTAGCAGGAGACTGAGTAATGTTGGTTCTTAGAAATTTATACACAATTAAAATATTGCCACACTCAAATACTACGGAATCTATAGGAAAGTACAAAAACCTATGAGCATTGCAATCAGCCAGGTGATGAGACTGGAAGGTTCTAGAACTACAGGAGCTCCAGAAATATGGGTGAGGGAGGGGCCATTTGAAATTTGAACCTAATGCCCTATTACTCTTCCACCACAAGAAGGAATTACCCGGGACTGAGCCTAGGCCCCAGCTGGCAGCAAAGGTGTGGACAATTTCAGCTCTTAGAAGTACTGAAGACCCTATGCTGGCTGTGAAGTGACCAAGGGGTAGCTGGAAGAAAAATGTGACTAGGTCATAACTGAAGGAGGAGCTTGGGGCCAGGAACAAGGTTGCCAACTACTGGGGCCCTAATGGACTGGTGTGGGGACTTCGATCTGTTCTTAGGTGTGACTTACTTCCCTTGGATAGGAAACCCCAATAAGGCTTCCTCTGTCCCATCCCAGGATCCATGGGCCTACCCTCTCCCTTACCCACACATCCTACATGAGGCTTGGGGCTACAGGGTCAGGAAGGGCAGCTGCCTTTGCCCTCATGGGAATGCAGTTATCTCCACGCCTCCACTTGGCTGTGAGACCTAGAAACCTGGAATTAGGGTGAGGGGGAAGACCTATGTTAGTTTCTAACAGGAAATCTTAAGTTTCAAGGAAGAAAGAGCACACACTAGTAAAGGACAGAAGGAAAAAAAGGGAAGCAACTTGGGGCATCCCAAGAGGCTATTGCTGGTGTCTGAGCCCAAAATTCAGTCCCACCATGAGAAGGGGAAAGTTGGCCACCCCTGTTCCCTCTGTTTCACCCAGGGATTCAGGTTCCCTTGTCCAGGTAGTTACTGGAAGAGAAGGGGAGGGGAACCACAGGGCACCCATTTCTCCCCAGCAACCTAGAAAGGAAGAGAGCACTCGGGAAGAAAATGGAGCGTGGCCCTTGTGGCCCGGACCCTGGAGAGGGACTTTGGGGATCAGGACAGTGAAGCTCCTGGCCGCCAGCCCTGGCATGTCTGTGCGCCATCCTGGGCGGGGTGGGAAATACACAGCCAGAGACAAGACGAGCGCTGAGCTGTCAGTCTTGAGATGGCTTCCCCCACAGCTTGTCCTCAGCATCATTCTGCACTCTTACATGGGGTGTGCAGTTTCCCCGCCAAGAAGCCCTCTGGCCTGCATCTCCCCTAAGCTAGTGCTAGCACCTTGGACATGTGAACAGATGGCCAGGATGGCAGGGCCTTGCCAGCCTCTGCTCCTGGGGTGACATGTTGGGGGTAGGTGTGACTAAGCCTTTCAAACTCGGGCCTGTAGAGGGGTAGATTTCAGGAAGAGATTTGGGAGGTAAGATTATAGGAAAGGGAAGTGGGGGCAGATTCCAGGCTCCAGCCTGAGAGCAGGGTTAGACCAATCTCTGAGCAAGCACACAGTACCCGCTCCCATGGTGCCCTGCTTCCTACAGCTTCTCAACCTGTCCTGTCTACACTTCCGGTAGGCTGCCTCTTTCCCTCAATTCCCTCCACCTTCTCCCTTTAATTCACATCCCGCAGTCCTCCTCTACATACTTTACCTTCCCAGGCCTAAGCCACTAAAGGAGCCCAGCCCCCGGGTGAGAAGGAAGGGTGAGGCTAAACACAGAAACCTTTAGTCTCAACCTCCCTCCCCTACCCCACCCGTTGGGGGGGAATTATGGGAAATGAATAATAAGGAAGCAGGAGCAAGTGTAGAGCCAAACACGAGATAGGGTGAGGCTTGTAAAGTGGGAATTGAAGGTAAGGAAACAGCTAGATCTGGGACTGGAAAAGGAGACTCTGGAGAAATAGAGGTGGGCCAGAGGTAGAGGAATAGAGGGTAAAGATACAGGGGACGGTCAGGGCAGAGGCGAGGATGGAGGCCAGCAAAGGAAGGATGGAGTGTCAGTATGGGAGATGAAAGATTAGACAGACGGTGAGGGTGGGGGCCAGAAGGGAGTAAAGGGCAGGAGGAGGTCCAGAGGTGGATTAGAGAATCAGAGATGGGGAAATCAAAGGGGGTTGAAAAGGGGGCTATCCCCCCACCTCGCACACTTGAGGGAGGTTGTGTAATCGGCCCGAGGTGGGCTGCGGGCGCCCCTGGAGCAACACACCGGCTGCCGCAGGGGGGCCCGGCGGCGGTGGCGGGTGGGCAAAGGGCTTGTGGCTGGGCCGGCGGACGCTCAGTAGTTGAACTGGCGCTGGCACGGCTGGTAGATGAAGCTGCCCTGGTGCTTGGGCCGCCGCGGGTGGCTCTCGCGGGCGCGGTTCTGCCGCTGCATCACCTTGGCGCTCAGCGCGTGGCGCTCCGCCCGCTGCCGGGCCCGCTGCAGCCGCCGCGCCGGGCCCGCCCGCTCCTGCAGCGCGGCCCGCGCCGGCGGGGGGGCGGCTGCGTGCGGCGGCGGCGCGCGGGGCTCGCGGCGGACGGGCGCCGGCTCCCTGCGGGGACAGAGGGGGCCAGGTCAGGGCCCGAGCGAGCGAAGGCGAGCCCAGCCTCTGCCCACCGGGTCCCCGCACCCTCGCGCGGGTGCGGCGCCGTCTCCGCTCAGCAGGGGGCGCCCAACGCCCGTCTGGAGGGAACCAGCCCTTCCTCCCAGCTGGCCTGGGGAAGCCTCCGTGGTTCTAAGCCCCGCGGCAGGTAAAAACCGGGCCCCAGGGAGGGCTCGACTCCAGACCCCAGGGCGGCCCGCGCCTTTTGTAAAAGCCTCTAGAGGACGCCCTGGCCCTGCATCCTCCAACCCCATAACCCGCCCCGGACCTGGAGCCGCGCCTCCCACCGGTGCCCCGCCCCTGCGCCCTCAGACCCGGCCTCAGGCCTCACCCTTTGCCTCCAAGACTCTCCTCTAGGCGCCCCGTCCCCGCACCCGGGCGGCTCCCCAAGCCCCGCGCCCGCCCCGGCCTCCGCCCCGGCCGCGGCCCGCTCACCCCTCGCTGAGGTCGGCGTCGGGCAGGCCGGCGTCGGGGCGCGGGGAAGGGGGCGCGGGCTCCAGCACGATGGTGCTGCCGGTGACGTAGACGGACATGCTGGGGTGCTCGATGAGCAGGTCCTCCAGGGGGCTGCTCTGGAGCAGGGCGGGCCCCAGGCCGGGCCCTTCTGCCGTGAAACAGGCGGGAGGGGTGACGAACCAGCTCTCGTCCATCAAGGAGGGTGCGGGCGGGGGGCGGCCGGCCGGGGCGGCGGCCCCGGGGCTGGGCGGAGCCGCGTAGCTGTCTGCGGGGCGCGGGAGGGGAGGCGCGCGCGCACACACACACACACACACACACACACACACCGGACACAGAGGGGGGAGAGAGAAAGGGCATCGTTAGTCAGACCCGCAGCCCTGCCCGTCGCGCCCACGGGGCACCCACGGGCCAAGCGTCCCGCTAGGGCCCCAGCACTGCGCCGCCAGAAGGCGGCCCGGCTTGCATGGGATGGCACCCTGCACCCCACCTCCAATGTCACCGTCTCAGCCCCAGTTTGCCCAGGGGACCTGAGGGAACGCCCCCAATCGCCTTAGCAGCTCCCTTCCCGCCGCTGCTGGGCCATCTGGCCTCCACGGGGCCGCAGGAGTTGGGAGTCCTGGCCCCGGACCCAGGCCTCACTCACCAGGCAGGTCAATGATGAGCCAGCCGTCCACTTCATCCTCCTCCGAGACGAAGGCTCGGGGGCAGTCGAGGTCCTCGGGGGGCGGGGGGTCGCTGAAGAACAGGCTGGTGAGGCGCTGGAACATGGTGGGAGAGCGGAGCGGCCTCGGGGGGGCGCTCTAGAGCAGTGCAAACACCTGGGAGGGAGGGAGAGAGGAGTCAGAGTCACCGCTGACGGAAGTCTACCTCGGCTCCCGGATCCCACCCCCAGTCCCGGACCAGAGCAGAGCACAGCGGGGAGGTTTGCAGTGTGTGGGCTTTCTGGTAGGTCAGCCTGTTTCAAATTTTTCTATTTTCTGTGTGACCTTAGGAAGTAACTTAACTTACCTGTGCTTTAGATTTCTCATCTATCAAATGACAATGAAAGCAGTACCCTCCTCTTGGCCCTTATAAGAATTAAATGAGCTAATAATAGTATTCTCCTCTCGGGTCTAACAAGAATTAAAGGAGCCAAACACAAAGAGCTTAGGACAGTACCTGGCCAGGGTAAGCATTCAATACATGAATCACCTAGTTATTATTAATGTTATTGTATGCTTTAGGGACAAAGAAAGAGTGGTATATGTGACCAGGCTCTCTCAAGGAAGGTTTCCAGAGGATTGGACATACAAGCTGGATCTTGAAGGGTAAATAGGAGTTCTCCAAGCAAAGAAGACATTGACCAGTGTTGTGATTATTTATCATCATCATCATAATATTGCCAACATTCATGTGCCAGGTACTCTACTAAGCACTTTGCTTCTATTACCTGATGTAATCCTCACAACTGTAGGAAGTGAGTATAATTAGTGTCCCTCTTTTACAGGTAAAGAAACTGGCTCAGAGAAGTAAAGTAACTTGCCCAAAGTTTCACAGGTCATAAGACAAAGAGGTAGGATTTGTACCATGTAGTCAGATGCCAGAGGCAGCACCATAATCACGATCTTCCATTGCCTTTGCTGGGTGTCTGTCTGAATGAGGCGTTTTTGGTGGCCAAAGGCCATGGTTCATGTGTATTTTTCTGGGAGAAGGACCTTGGTTTCCATCATGATTTCCCAAGCAGGACTACTGGTGTGGCTTGAAAAGTGCTGGCTCTCAAAAATCTCATTGAACCCCTACCGTGTGATTGCATGGGCCTCAGTTCTGTCTGTGAAAATGAGCTTGAAGATCCTATTCCCACAGGCCCTCCCCCTTCTTACCCCTCATTCCCAAGCCTCTGCTCAAGGACAGCAGTATCCCTGGCTAGGAAGCAGATCATGTTGCCTGGCCCAGGGAGACAACAGGTCAGAGGGAGGTGAGAGTGGAGGGAGGGAGATAGCACACCCCAAGATCCCTTAAGGATTAGCACTGAGGGTTAGACCAGGATCCAAGGCCTCAGTCAGCCCTTCTCTGGGTGAAGATGAGGAAGGAGACCTCTTACTGCAGGAATGCAGACGCCAAGGAGGTGGCTACTGATCTGCTCCTCTTCCCACCTCAGCCTATCTCAGGACTACACCTGGGCTTGGGGTAGTCTCTGGATGTTCCTAAAGCTTGACCCTCCACATCTGTCCCCCGAAGACCAGTAATTTCGCTATTGGGCCACTTGTCACCTTCCTTGAAGGATATTTCCACACTTCCATTCCCTGAAGGCATTCTACTCTTACTGTTAACCCACCTGGGATATTTATGTGCTTGTGACTAACTCCTCCTATTCCCTGGGTATGTCTCCACACTTGCCACAGAATCCCCTAAACTCCATATCCTGAGAGTATTCCCACATAGGCGGGCCCACAGTCGGCTCCAGAAGGAAGTGCTCCCTGGCTGCTGGCTTCCCTGGTGGGAGACCTATGGAGATTATGTAAGGTTGAGCCATCCCAACTAGGATCTGCCCAACACAAGCCACATACCCCAAACCACTCGTAGCCACAGGAAGGCATAGTGACTCAGTTACCAAAAATCCAGAAAGTTTGACCCTTCCTGAAGAAGCCGCCCTCCCCCCTTTCCATTGAGGAGGTGAAGACGTTAAGGACTTTTTCAGGGACTATCATATTCATCCAGTCCATTTCACAACCCGAGGATTAGAGGACATAAGTCCCTCAGGACAGGCCTAGCCCCAGGTCACTCACTGAGCGTCCGGTCCAGAGTGTACATAGAAAAACCTCAGTGCAAATGGTGCCCCAAAATATTCATTGTGCAGAAGAGATAGAGAGGTCAGACATGAGTCAAACCTTGATCAAGTCAATGCTCCCCTCTGACCTCCCTGCCCAGCTGTAGAAAGGTGTGGGGTTCCTGACACCAAGGTTTATCATGCATTTTCCAGAGCACCCACTACGTACCACAGCCTGCTCTGAGCCTCCTCAAATTACAGACAGATTGAGGTAAGAAGGCTGGGGCGGGGGGAGAGCTGCCTGCCCGAGGTCACACAGCAAGTCAGGGACAGAGCCAAGAGCAGCAGCAGCCAGCCAGCCAGTGCCCGCCCCTCTCATGACCACTGGGGAGTCTCCTGAGTTTTCTTTCCCGGTTCTGCCAGCTTCCTGGTTCTCACATTCCCAGCCCTGCTCCAGGGAGAACCATTCCCTTTAATAACTGCAGCAGCTGTGCCCAGAATAGCACTTGAGCAACCTCTACCCCAGCCCATCCTTGTGCAAAGCCCATCCAGCTATGGGCCCATCTGCTCAGAAAGTCAGCAGCTCTCTCCTGCCCTTTCTCCTGCCTCTCTCCAAGAGCAGAGAGGGGCAGTACAGATCTTCCATCCACCAGCACTAGGCCAGGCCGTGTCCTTCCCCCGGAAAACTCTGGGTGTTGGGGAGGTGATGAAGGGCCACGCTCTCACCTCCCGCCCCGACTCCAACATCAGCTCTGGAGACACCCTGATACAGCTAATGACCGGTGGTCAAAACAGCTGGGAGACAGCAATTTCATTGGGCTGTGGGGCTCCAAGGTACAAGGTGAGGGTCAGAGCCACAAAATGGGGGACCCAATCTCCAAAGAACCCCTGGAAAAAGACCCAGGAGTGAGGAGACCTAGCAGCCCTATCAAATTTGGATGGTACTGGGTCCAAAGTAGTGTTCTCAGTGATAGGAGGATGTGTAACTTGTTACTTGAGTTCCTACGAGGCATGTGCCGATGGCTAATGCATCTGTCTCTCACTCAGTTAGGCATGACTCTAATTGGCTGCAAGAGGGGGAATAAGGGCCTCAGTTTCCCCTCCCGTGAAATGGGACCCGAGAGCCCCAGTTTCGGGGCTGGGAGTGAAGTCAGATAAAGCCCACACGCACGCACGTCAGAGCTTAGGAGGATGTTATGTTTGTCCCGGAGGAGCAGGGAGGGGATCCCGCCACCATCTGGCGCTGCCCCAAGACCTGGGGCTGGAACTCCAGGGCTCCCTTCAGCTCCATCGACCCCACCGCCACCACCCACCTAGACCCGGCAGCATTCTGAGCCCCTCCCCCAGTCACAAGGGGAAAGAAAGCCGGGGTTCAGAGGCATGAACCCCAACCCCTGGATTCACCCAGGAAACTGGCACGGCCCCTCCGGTCCCCGCTGCTTCTCAGCGTGTCTCACCCATGGGCCCAGTCCCGACCCAGCGACCCCCGGGTCAAAGGAGGACAGGCGACCCGAAGCGGGGGTGCGGGGGGGGGGTGCGCGGAGGGGGGACAGGAGGGAGAGCGGGGGGGGGGGCGGAGGGCGGGGCTGGCCTTAGTGACGTTTCAATGTCAAATGCAAATAGAGAGACGTCATGGTCTGCCAGGCGCGCGGCAGCCAATCGGGAGGCGGGAATGCGGTCCCGGCGGCCGCGGCCGGAGACAAACAAAGACCCCGGAGCCGGGCGCGGGGCGCTCCGGGGAGCCGGCGGGGACTCACCGGGCGGCGGCGGCGCGGCGCTGAGGTAGCGGGCGGCGGCGGCGGCGGCGGCGGTCACAGGCCGGACGGCATCGCGGGGCCGGGCGGGGCGGGGCGGGGGCGGCGGGGCGGCGGGGCTCCCGCGGCTGCTGCGCTTCCCGCGGGGCCGGGAGTGAGAGCCGCCCGGCGGGTCCGCAGCACCAGCCCGGGCGCTCCAACAGCTGATCGTGACGTCACAAAGGGGCCCGCCCGCCGCGTCACCGGGGCCGGAGCGGCGGCCAATCCGGGGCCGCGGATCCCCTCCCGCCGCCTCCGCCTCCGCGGACGGTGCTGCGGGCCCGGAGCCCAGCGCCGAGCCCCGGGGCGCCGCCGGCCAGTGCGACCGCTGGGAGCTGGGGTCCCCCCCCGGGGGGACCCACAGACCTCTCTCCAGGGGGAGATCCCAGCTCGCTCCTATGGGACCCCCGTCTTCCTCACTCCCTCCTCCTGCCCCAGCGCCCTCGCCCCTCCCTCTGCCCCCCAGATCCTCTCACCCGCTTGCCGTGTCCAAACCCACCGGCCTGGGCTCCCCCATCCCACACCCCGGCTGTGCACCGCCCTCCTCCCCAACACTTGCCTTCTTGCTGGCCCGCCTCCCTTTTGTCAGTCTCACCTCCTCGCCCCTGCACATTCTGTGTTTTCTCACCCCCTTTGCCTCGGCGGGGCAGGTTTGGGGAGGGGGGGGGCTTGCTCCTTTCCTAGTTCTGGGACAGCACCTGGGAGGCAGAGGGGTTGGTTTGCTGAGGAGAAAGGGTACGGAGTAGGACGCGGAGAGGAATTGCTCTGGGCTGAGTAAACATTGACCTAGAGACAGCTCTGTACTGGAAGTTTACACACCTTATTTAGTCCGTTGCTACAGGGGGCTGGACAGCAAAGTGACAGGACAAGGATTATTAGTCCAAATTTACACGCAGAGAAAATGAGGCTCAAAAATCTTACTGTTAGTGGGTGGATGCATATTCAAGGGTGATTTCAACATTTGTCGAGTACCTACAGTTGGCACTGCCAGACCATTAGCTGGCATTGCATGGACACTTATGTGCTATAGCACCGTATGTGTTTTGATCTTCACAACAACCCCCAGAGCCCTTCAGCCTCTTCCAGGAGACAGGGCCCTGTCCCGACTACCCTGAACTTGCTGTGTGACCTTAAATAAGTGATGTTACCCCTCTGGGTCTCAATTTTCTTATCTGTAAGTTCAACATGTCCAAAGGGCCAAACTTTCCTCCCTCAGGATTCTGCCAAT